TTTAATCTATAAAATACCTTTATATTCAATAAGATTATATATTCTGACATAATCCATAATATCTTTTACAAAGAAAAAGGCAATTCAGTAGTATCTTTAAATATATTCAAAAACATTCTTAAGTATTATTAAGTATTTCTGGTATTTAATAATATGATTCATCATTATTAATTCCATTAGTATCATCTAATCTAAATATATAAAATAATAGTGCGATTGAATATATTAAGTTCTTTATATTCGTTTATAAATAAGGATATAATTAGTTCATTTTAAATTATTTTGAATATCTTAAAATGATGAAATCTGCTTAATTATATATTTTTGTTTTTCTTTTTAAATATACTATATCTAGTGTATATTAATTATATTAATTATATTAATTATATTTTATTAGGAATAAAATAATAATAATTTTTGTATTAACTCCATTTAAATATAATTTTAAAATTGAGATTGTCTGATATTGGTAAATTTTCGTGAAAATTTGGGTATTAAATAAGATTATTCTAGGAATTCTTAGGCTCTTAAATTTACAGGTTATATTTGATCAAAAATTCCATCATTTTTATTTCAAAATTGTAATATTTTAATTACTAGGTTAATAATTTCCTTTATTAGTTTAATGTAATTTCATCATTATAATTATTAATACTTGCTTAATTAGACAATAACATACATATACATATTTTAAAATTCCCACTTATACTTATTTTAAATCGATATAATTCTAGAATTATAATAATTAATAAAGTATTAATATATATTCACTTTTACTTTTTAATATATCTTATTTAACTTAATAAAAATATCACATATTTTAAAATATTTATATAGTAAAAAGTTTGAACTTTATCTTTTAATTGTTCTTATTTAATATTCTGCTTAACACTCTGATTAAGTTGTAAACTTTTCTCTAATTCTTCAATTTATTGTTGTAATGTATTCAAATCTCTTCTACTACCTCCTCCTGAAGCTTGTAATTGAGCAAGATCTCTTTCTTTTTCTTCTAATTTCTGTTGAATTTCTTCATTTTTTTTTTAAAGATCAAAAATCATTTTATTAGTATTATTAATCCTTTAAGCAATTTACCCAGTTTATTTTCCTCATCTATATTTATTCCTGATACTATCACTTTAATAAATGATTTATTATAGTTATTTCATTTCCATTTTTATTATTATAATTAAATATAGTTATAAAAACTACAATAAAACTAATAAATAAAAATTATAAATTAAGAAATATGTTTCTAATTTTTTTAGATTCATATAAAGAATTTATTAGAATATATTATATTTTATCAAAAGTATATAAAATCACTACAATGGAAAAAAAAAGTTAATTTCAAGCTAAAGTATTTTCTTAGAAAACTTTTAGATTTTATTGAAACTAAAAAAATAAATATTAATATATATCATATTTGTTTAAAAATAAAATCTGTTATTTTTTAAAAAACTACTTAATTTTAAAATTTTCTTTAAAATCAATATTTATGAATCTAAAAAATAACCTTTTCATATTTATGAAACTTTTTTAAAAATCCCAAAATATTTTTAATAAAGAAGAAAATTAATACATTAAATGTGTTATTTTCTTTTTTATAGTCTTTATATCAATCAAAATATTTATTGATAATCTATATAACAATATAAATATCTACAATTACATATTATTCCATATAAATGAATCTATGTATTATTGAGCATATCTATTAGAAAATAATTGGTATCCAAATAAATAAATGTACAAAATTTATTTTTACTAAGTAAATATAAATCGACTTTTTTATTTATCAAAATATTAATAAATTTATATTAGGATATTATAGAAATAATTAATTACACATAATATAGAAATAAATTCTATATAAATAAAATATTTATTTTATATAACACAAATCTAAATAAATGATACATAATACAAAATAAAAGTATTCAAGATTTAAGAACTAAGTGAAAATTATTTATGCACGATTTACTAACAAATAATTTCTAAAAATTTTCTAAATATTAAATTTACATGATTAAAGCATAAATCTCAATCTAGACAAAAGACTTTTTTTATTTTATTTAGGAGAAATGTAATAGTGAAGATGTATTATTCAATAATTTCAAAATATTGAGTTCAGTTTCATTTAAATTTGTAGAACTATTTGTTATTTCTGAAGGTTTGTAATTTCCTGCTACATTTGTTTCATTATAAAGTAAATCATTGACTTCGTCAGATACAGATGAAAATGTACTTTCAAACTTGTTCTTAATGACTTCAAATTCACTAGATAACTTCTTAGTCATACTGTTAAATAAATCTGATTCTTTAATATTATTAATAAAACCTTCAATATAATTAGTCGTATTAGTAGGTTCTTCACAAGTAACAAAATTCAACATTACAATATAGAAAAGAGTAAATATTAAAGTTTTCATTATTATTTTACTATTATATAAAACTTAGATAATCAAAAATTAAATTTATTTAAAAATAAAAAGAAGAGAAATAAAATATTTGTCAATGATAAATTAATTAACCGTCACAAATTATTATCCACCTTTGTATAACTCGAATAAAATTCTCTATTTGCTTATTTATACCAAATTTATAATAAAAATTATTATGAAGATGAGATATCCAAAAATTAATTACATTAATATATATAATATCAAAAAAAAAAAAAAAAAAAAAAGAATTAATAAAAATCTGAGTATTTAATTTATTGAAATCAACATTTAAAAAAGATTTTAATATAGAATTATTTAATATTAGACACTTTTTTTCTTTTTCCCCTCTTAAAAAGTTATTATTAGAATTATTAGATAATTACCAATAATATAATATGAGTTTATACAATATAAATTAAAAATTTCAACCTTTTATATAAATTTTTTTTTTTTTTTTAAAAAAAAAAAAAAAAAAAAAGGAAAAGAAAAAGTTTATGAAAATAATTAATTAAATCATTATAATAATTATTTTACCATAATAGATTTTTCTGTATATTCCTTCATAGAATGAATATGCCCATCACGTTTTATACATAGGTGTGGAAATAGATATAATAATGTAAATAGTACTACACCAACCATTGTAGCAATAGCTAATGTAGTTGTTTCTGCAATTGACCATCTTAAAGATAATGATAATTGCCATTTACAAGTTACTGTGAATATCTGGTCATTATCTAAACCTTTAACATTATAATATGTATTATTTTCATTGTTTATATTTATATTATTTCTCGTTTTAATTGACATCAAATATTTCATAGACTCTATAATAATATCATTCCTACTAATTTTAGATATCGATATATTATTATTATTATTATTAGTCTGAATATCTCCCTCATGTTTATCTAATTGAGATCTTAAATAATTGATTATTGAATCCAAACCATTATAAATAGTTGAAAATGGGAGAGCACATGCATCTTGATAATAATTAATAAAATCAGAATTTATACCTTCTGAATTTAATACATATAAGAGACCAGCTAATGCATTATCTCTAAATGGGCTTTTTGAAGCAGCAGCATGAATAAACCAATCACCTGGATACCATGGACCTTCACCAAAAGAATTTGGTGGCATTTGTAAAAATCCATTTGCTAGTCTTTGACTTATAATAACAACAATTTGATAATCATCATTATTTTGTGATTTACTAGTAAAGAGAAAAGGTGTTGGTCCGGGCATATTATTTATAATAAATGAAGGTATAGATTTAATATCTAATTTACTAATATCTAATGTCATGTTTGGAGTTGATACTGTATTGTTATACAAGTAAAATACTGAATGTGATAAAGTTGTTTGTTCAGGCCAATTCGAACCATATTTAATTACGGATTCTGCTAATATTGGATCTAGAGATAGTGCATGAAATATCATTTGTAATCCATACCTTGATCTAGATATAATAACAAATCCACTATTTACTAATGAATAACGATCATTCCAAGCTGAATCTCTTGCAGTAAGCATAACAAAATTACTAACATCCATTATAATTCCGTTATATGTATCATTTCCTGTTTTCAATTCTGTATCCTTGTTATGAACATACATTAAACGTTCAATTGAAACATGTTTATCAGTAATAGCTATATCTATATCAAACCAAACAGCATAATCACAAATATTTGCTTTTACATTACTTGGTGTAAATTGAATTGCTTCACCATTAACATCATTTACATCTGTATAGTCTTTTATATGAGCAAATTTCCCATCATGATATAGGTCCCAATTATTATTCAATTTATAAGAAGGAATGTTTTTATCTAAAAATTTTTTATAAATTTTTTCTTCAGATATATTATTAGAGTAATTATTCATATATTTTGATAAAAATTCACCAATAGACGTAATATTCCAAAATAAAATATCTAATGCAGTAAAAATTTTCATATAAAATCCATTTCTTGACCAAGAATTATAAATACTCTTAGGAATCCTTTTTTGGAATGATGAATCATAAAGAAAATATGCATAACCATTATATCTAGCATATTCAGCTAATGAACTACGTGCTGGTGAAGCTCTAAGAATAGCTTTTATATCAGAATGACCTTGATATAAACAAATTCTCCTATATTCATTCTCATATTGATATTTAACAATACGTTTTCTTTCAACAGGTGATAAAATTATAAATTGAGTATATGTTCTATATATTACTTTATCACCAAATATATTAAATGAGTTCTTATTCATATTTACAGAATCTACAATTACTCCTTTGAGAGATTCAACTATTCTAGATAATGATACACCAATCACTCCCATCCATTTATCACTTTCTGAATTAATATTTTTATTAAAAAAATAATTTTCACTTCCAATAAAATTAACCACTGATTTATTACTAGTATTATTAATATTGAATGAATCTATTATTTCATCTTTCTTATTATTCATTTTAGAATATTTATTAATTTCAATAGTATAGTTATGTAAAGAATTATAAAACCTATTTATAAATTCTTTTACTACCTCCAATGAATCTGTCTGATTTATTATTTTATTAGAAAAATTAATAGATGGTATATTTAATACAAAAAAATTAAAATCCAAGGTGGGAATATGCTCATTTAATCTAAATGGCTTACCAGCACCCCATGATCCAAGAAGTATTTGGCTAGTATATGTACTATTATCCCAAGATTTATACATTCCATGTAAAGAATCTTGCCAATTATCTGTAAATTCCATATTTGCAGCAAATACAATTAACATACCCTTATTAATTGGAATATTATTAAGTAAATCCTTTATATCTTTAAGAGCTATTAAAATACCATTAAATATAGCTAATAATCTATTTATAGAATATGATACATTTTCATATTTATTATCAATTGTAGCTTTAATATAATGATTAATACATCCTTTATCTAATACATTTCCATTATTATGATTATCTAATATTGACTCATTAAAAGAAACCAAAAATTTTTTACATATGAATTTTGAATTATTAATATTATCAGTATAATTCCAAATAGCAAGGGGAGATAAATTCACCTCTACTTCTTCATTAAATGGATTTACTATAGTCTCATTTAATATTATATATGTATCTCTTCCGATTAATGATTTGAGACTCATTGAAAGTAATCTTGTAGAACGAAATCTCTTATTTAAGTCATCATTTAAAAGAAGTGACAAAAGTCTTTTCTCGTTTGAAACTTGTTGTTTGTATGTATCTGTTGGTCCTTCTCGAATTTCCTGAACAAGTACCGGTAAAGCATGAAATAATAAAGTCATAAAGGAAGCACATGTCAATAGTGCAACAATCAGAAGAGTAATCCTTGGTGCCGTTTTACCCCCTCCCTTAATATATTTTAGTAGATTTAATCCTGCCCCTTTACCGGAGGGGAGATTCATCTCCATATATCCCAGCTAAGTATTTATCTCAACTTCTTAATGTAAAAAAGGTCTAATCCACACCACATAACCTCAAAACCTTTTTCCAACTCTGGAGCAGAGTTTTCTCAACAATAATAGCAAAAATGCTCATGTTGTGCGGGTGTATTCTAGGCGCCAAACCCACAAGGACTAGCTTACGTCATTAATTGAATTCTCTTTTTTTTACTCCTTGATATTCATCATTTACTTACAGCTTATTACTACTAGTATTAATTCCATTATATATTGTTTATTTTAATAAAGTAGATATTTTTATTATATAAGTAATATAGAAAAGTTAGTTATGTATAAATATCTACTATAAAAGGATCTCTAAAAGAGTCATATTTCGTACAAGTCCAAATTATATATATATTTTTAAACATATCTATATTAGTATTACTATTCGTAAAGTATTATGGGTAAATTTCTAAGTGTGCTTTGAGATTATTTATAATCATTAAAATTATTCTTCTGAATACCTTAATTTTGAATCCCTAAGAGTACTACCATCTAAATTTACATATCCTAGATTCATATATTTAAAAAAAAAATTACTGTGTAATTAATAATTAGAACTAATTCTTTATAAATATTCTAATTCTGAACTTTTGAAATTATTTTGGAAACATCTGTTATTTTCTTAAATCCTTTAATTCTAATCCCCTACTATAAAATCTAAATTTATCTTTATTTTTCTTATCAGTATAAAAATACCTCTTATTTTCTAGTAGTTCTAATTTTTATATATTATTACTATATATAAGTTCTTTAATATTATAGTACTAATACCAATATTAGCTACAGAACTAGTGCCTTGTAAAGAATTTGAATAATTTATAGTACTACTAGTAATGTACTGACATAATCCAATATTAAAGAAATAATTTGGGAAATCAATAAATTACTTATCTTCAATGCTAATCCATTAATTTCCACTTATTCTATCATTTTTTCCATCGAAATATCCAATATTACTATTATCAAGACTATACATGCTACGTAATACAATGTGAAATATTATTTAGAAAATGACCTTTTTTTTGAGTAATAATATTTAGATAATTTGACTCTATAAATATAATTTCCTTATTTTGTTAACAAATCCACTATTAAACAGAACTAAACAAGATCAATCTTTTATATTATAAATATAAAGATATTTCTAAAAGATGTATAGAACTATTCAAATATATAACATAATATAATAATAATTAATCTAATTTAATCTCAAAAACTAAATTCTTACAAAAGAAAAAAAAAAGTAAACTAAAATCTGGATTATTCTATAACTTTTGGTAATATGTTAAATATTATCAAGAAATATAGGTTACTCTTTTTTTTTTAATAACTAGTGATTTACTTTAATTTAATCCTTGTATTAGAATTAAGTATTGAAAATATGACTTCAGATCAGGTTTATAAAAGAAAATAATACTGGAATATCTCATAATGATTCAACTTATAAAATAACTATTTATAATAGATAATATCCTTGTTATGCTAAAAAAAAATATTTATTATCATTAATATTTAGACTAATTTTTAATATCTAGAATATTTATTATGATAACTATAAGATTCATTACAACATATAAGATTTAATATATTAGTTTTACAATATAGTACAAAAATTACCTTATGAAGTTGTAACATTAAAAGAATCCTTAATTATAACTTTTTTTAGGTTCCACAAATTATATATTTGTATAAATACCAATCTCCTAATTTAAAGAATTATATTTACGTAACATTTCTAATACTTATAGAAATCAAGAGGTTATTTAGAGTCTAATTACTATCAATAGTAGTTAGTCTGTCATAATACCAATACTTCTAGTTTTATGACGATTTTTCTTTTTTCTTTTATTTTTATTAGTGTCACTAGTACTAGTTTTATTTGATAGATCTAGATAATATATAGTGTTATCTGCTTGAGTAGGATAAAAATAAGGATATAAAGTAATATACTGATTAGGTCTAGTATTAAAAGTATTTATTGGAATATCAACCATCCATTTATCTCCAAGTTTAATCCACCAATTTCCATTTATTTTATATCTTTTTCCATTAAAATATTGAATACTACCATCACTAAGACGGTACATACCAGCTGGTTTTGAATAATCAACATCGAATAGTTCAGGTGATTCAAGTAGTTCAGGTGAATCAATTAATTCAAATAATTCAGATCTTTTAGGTAAATATAATGTAGGAATATATCTATGTTGGCTATAATAACTTCTTCGTACCTGAGGTTTATAATATCTTGTTTCTTCTGTAATTTTACTACATCCTTTATTAATATCAAATATGTAATTAGAAGAAAATGGTCTTAAAATATATTCTATCTCGGATTTACATTCTTCAAAAGTATTACTATTCATTCTATTAACTGCCATACATAAATCAGAAAATTTTGGAAAATTTGAAGGATTACCTGATCTTAAAAGTTTTAAGTAAACATCTGAATATCTATCTGAATTAACAAGAGACTTTGCAAGAGTAAATACCATTTCAATTTTAGAATAATCTGATTTATATATACTTTGCATTATATTTAAACAAGGAGTACGTATAGAAAAATCAGATTTTTTACAAGCATTATGACGTACTGTTTTATTAAAATTATATTTTGTAGAAATATGACTTTCTAATAATGATGAAATACATGAATTATAAATATCATCTTCTTCTATATTATGAAGATCACTTGGAGTTAATTGTGTTGAGAAACTACATAAATCTCTTAGATCTATTGGTCCATTTATTTCAAATTCTAATTTTTTTTGAAGATTAATAATATATTGTAAATCAAATATATTTAATCTTTGACAATCATGAAATGAAAAAGGATCAATCTTATAGCATGCTGAAAACATTATTGATTTTGATATATGTATCCCGGATTCTTTCATAGCATTTAAACAGGTAATAAAAACTCTATTAGATCTGATAGAAGTGACAATATCACTAATTAAATAATCAATATTTGGAATTATGTTTATTCTTGATAATATCTCCTTACGTAAAATTATACTCCAAGTTTTTTGTGCTCCATTAAAATTATATTCTTTATTTATTGGTGAATATATTCCTAAAGATAGATTAGATTCTTCAATAATATCACTAATATCATCAATATATTTATCATTTTCTATTTTTGATGATTTTGAAGATTTTATTTTATTATTTGTTGTACGTAATAAAACTTTTTTGTCTGATATTTGACTTATAGATTTTATTGCTCTAATAATTTCTTTATGTAATAATACTAAAGAAGTAGACCTAGAATTAAGAAATGTATTTATATCTGTAGAAGGTTTATCAATTATACCAATATTATGTAAACGACTAGCAAAAAATTCTGATAATGCTAATTCAAAAGAATATTCTGATATATCATTTATATTCTTAGTAATTAAACCTTTATCAATTATATATTTCATAAATCTACAACCATCACGTAATGTAATTTTAGCCTTTGGCTCCATTTCTCCAAACATAGTTGAAATTGCTACAGCCATACCAAAATCCTGTGGTGTTAAAGAATAGAAATCATTATCTAAAGTAAAATCTATAGCCTTACAAAGTTGTATATAATTTAAACAATAATCTCCTTCAAACATATTCATATTTGACATATTATTATTACAAAAATCTTCACATCTTTTTTTAATATCCCCCTTATTAAGTAATCCAAAAGGACGTTTAGGACCTATTTCTGATACTAAAATACAAGCTGCTCTTAAATCAGGTGCTTCGATACTTCTTTTTTGCACAAATTCCCTTATTGAATAAGCATAAGATATTAATGGTTCAATTAAACCACTACATTCCATAGATTTCAAAGGATCAATAGTAGTGCACAATTTTTCTGCAGTTTCATCATCAATAACTCCCCATTCTTTATTATTATTATCGAATACTTCAATATTTGACTTTAATAATATTATACAAGATTTATATACATCACGCCCTTGTAAATGTTTAGTAAATAATTCTTCTAAACTTGTAGATATAGATAATCTATAACCTCCATTTAAAAAAAGTGGACTTATATTCTTTACCCACTCCTTCACAAATTTAGGATATATTGGTTGTGTATATATATAAGAAAATTGTAGTAATATAACCAATATAAATTTATAGACAAAAAATCTCGATAATAAGTTATTCATAATAAATAATATATATTAGAAAATTTTATATCTTTAACCTTATAAGAAATATTACTAAATATTTTTATAAACTAATATATTAGAAATATATTCAATTTAAAAAAAAAGATTCTAAGATTGATTGGATGACAAAGATTATTAATATTCTTAGATTTTTCCGCTTAGGAGATTACAAAGATACCCTGTATCTGATAAATATTACATCCTAACAGCGCCTTATATTTTTATATATATAAAAGAAAAAAGTACATCAGGATCTTAATAAATTAAAATATAATAAAAAAGTACTATAAACGAGAATTTACATATATATATTAATAAATAATATTATTGGTTATTTTTAAATTATTATTAAATTAAAATTTAATAATATCTTAATATATCTAAATATCCTAATATTATTGTAATTTTATTCTTATATATCTTAAATTAATTTTATATTTATATAATTATTATTAATTAGTCATCCATATATATATGAGTTATATTAATACATAAAGGATCATCACATGCCATTGTAAATGCTACAGGAGGTTTCTTTTGAAGTTCTAAAAAACTTTCATCATCAGCATATAAAAATGCAAGAATTCTATTAACATAAGTTTGACATTCATCAACTTCACCTGGTCTTAAAATTCTTATTACTGGTGAACCATCTTCTGCTGCTAATTCACCATGCCATTGTACACAATTTTCCTCACCACCTAAAATTGGATCATCAGCTCTATCAATATTTTGACAAATTGATGATAATATATGAAAAATTTGCTCAGATGTTTTCCAAAAATCTTTAGCTCTAGGATGGATATAATTCACCCATGATCTACAAGCAATTAAAGTTTCATCACTAGTTCTTTTATCAAATGGTTTTATTACCCTATAATTTTTTTTTGGACTTGAATTAGATAATTTTGAACTAAGAGCCTTTTGAGATCTATCTGCACCGTAATTATTATTTGAATTATTATTATTTTTATTAAATCCAAATAATAAGAAAAATGGAGATTCACTACATGATCGAAAACATGAAAACATAGGGAATTCTCCTATTTATTTATTGTATATCAAATTTTTTTTCTTTATTTAATAAAAAATTTTGGAAATTTAAAATCTTGAAATATTCTTATATTAATTGTCAAATAATGACATTAAATAGTAACTAGAAATATAAAAGGTGTATGCACACAACCTAATAAAATAGAATATTAGCACACAAGAATCATTTTATAATTTTTAATGAATTAATAATTCTTTAATGTAAAAAATTTACATAATGAGATTTTAAAGATATTTATTAATAATTATTATTATAGGTACCCCTCTAAAAAAAAAGTTCGATTTTTTGATCTGTTGTGCGCGCGCGGCTTAATTTTTTTTAGATCCCTCTTTTTTCTTAACATATTATTATAACTATCTTGAAAAATAGACAAAAAGATATAACTGGAGATATTTTAATTAATCTTTAAATGTAATAAGAATATTACTTAATGTCTATAAGATATTATTTGATTTTAATGAAATCAACGTGGATTTCACCCTTATTAATTATCCTACTTATTTGTTATTCTAGTATAAAGAATGTACAAAGTATTGATGAGTTAGATTTAGCACTATGTGGAAGTAATGGAGATAAATTTCTAGAAACATCAGAGTTATTTATTACTAAAGGAGCATATTTTTATGCTGATTTAATGATGAAGATGATGGAAGGACCATGGCCAACTTGGTCCAATGGAAATCCTTTAACAAAAGATGAAGTAAAAGATTATATAGTAAAAAAAATAATTTTAACAGCTCCTTTACGTTTAAGACAATCTTTAACTATGGCTGAAAAAGTTAAAGATAATATCTGGACAAATTGGTTGAGTAGAATGAGACAATATCCAACTACTTTGCGTTTAATTAATGATATAAGGTTTACAGTATTTTTATGTGGGTCTAAGATATTATATTATAAAATTTTGACTAAATATGTTGATAGAATTAATAGGAAATATAGTTATAATTTTAATTTAATGGAAGATAAAATTATTAAAGCAGCTATAGAAATGCATAAAAAATCAAAAAAAAAGTTAGAAAATAAAAAGATTGAGGAAATAAAAAATAAAAGTTCATCAAGAGATTTAATAAAACAAAAAAAATTAGGATTTTTGATTGAAAGTCCTTCATATCCTAAAGTTGAATTACAAGAATCTGAATTGGTAGAAATTGGAACATCTGGAACATTTGATAATTCTGAATTAGAAAAAGCTCAAGAAATTGAAAGTGAAGAATTTTTTACACCTTCTCCTGAATATAGTATAGGTATGAAGGAATTATTATCTAATGATGAGGTATCAAAACAAGATATATTAGATATAATGAATAATGAACCTGAAAAAATAAAAGAGGATATTAATTTGATAAACAAAGATAAGATATCTAAGTCTATGAATAATAATCAAATTGAATCAATTGATGATTATATAGAAAGTGATTTATTAGATATACAATTTGAAGATGAAGGTCATTTACATAAAGGTTTAGAAAAAGGAATAGAAAATGAATTAGATATAGAAGATATGAAAAGTGAATACAATACTAAAAATAATATTGTAGATAATTTGATAGATAATGAGATTGATAAAGAAAGTAATAATAATAATATTGAAGATGGTATTTCAAATAATTTTACAAATAATAAAATTGATAAAGAGAATAGTAATTATAATCTTGAAAATAATAGTTCAGATAATTTTATAAATGAGCTTGATAATCAGAATCAAGATAATCTTGAAAATAATATTTTAAATAATCTTATAGATAAATATATTGATAAGAAAGGAAATGACTATAACAATGATTATGATGATTATGATGATTATGATGATTATGATGATTACTATAATCATAACGATAATTATGATAATTTATTGCTAAATAAACAAATAACCTCAGAAGATAATAATAATCAGCTATTAGATGGTTCTGAAAATATAAATGTAATAACATCTCTAGAAAAAGCAAAAGAACTTCCATCAACATATCCTCTTGGTGATGGAATACAATCTTCTTTTAAATTATCTAATATTAATTCAGTATATGGAGCTTTAATAAATGCATTGAAATATCATCAACTAAATGGAAAAATTTTACATAAAACTATACAAGAAAATTTGACAATCAAAGAGGTTCCATTAGTATTTAATCAGAGGATATTAAAAAGATGGAGAACTGTAAATTTATGTGGAGAAAACCAACAAGTACCATTATGGTATATGACATCAATTTCAACTGTAAATGAAGATATATCAGAAAAACCTTCAAAAGAAGAATTAATACTTTTAGAAGTAGATTTTAAGGCAGTATTCTCAATACATCAAATTTCGCGTGGTGGTCAAGCTTGGTTACAACGAAATATAGTTGCAAGTAGAACAACAGTAGGATTTCAAGATATCCTTATACAATCTGCTATAGATGGACTTTCTACTATTGTATCACTGCAATGTTCAAAAATTTTAAATTTATCAATATTATCAATAGATGTTAAAAAATGTATACAAGATTATATTGATTCATTAAATTATGGTCAATATAAAGCATATGGGCATCTAAAAGACGATAATAATATATCAAGAGGAATTAAAGTTGGTAAACCTTATAGTGGAATTTTAGAATCTCAACATACTAAAGTTAGTGAATTAAAAGACAATTTACTTGAAGGTTCTGCAGATAATTCTACAGATAATTCTATAGATAATTCTATAGATAATTCTATAGATAATTCTATAGATAATTCTATAGATAATTCTATAGATAATTCTATAGATAATTCTATAGATAATTCTATAGATAATTCTACAGATAATTTAAAATTATATAATATTAAAGCTTTAAAAGAAGATTTAGAAGATATTCCCAGTAAATTTATTGAAAATATAAACGAAAAACTACCTAAAACTAATAAAAGTGTAAGATTTTATATTGGAGAAGATGTATCAAATACCAAGGATATTCAAATATTAGAAATGGATGATAGATTAGAATTTTTAGCAAATTCTGCTACTAAAAGATTTATTGAAGAATCTAAATTTATAGAGATGAATGAAAAAGAACTTGAAAGATTATATGAAGGAAGTCTTATTATGAAAAAAGAAGTTGATACTTGGAAAATTATAGCTTCTTTTGCAGTATTCAAACTTAAAAGTGAGATTTACTGTTGTATTAAAACTAATAAGAAATATCTTAGCTATTATTATAATCTTGATGAATTTCTTGTACTTGAAACAATGGCGAAAAATATAGAAGGATCTCTTTTACTCACTGGTTATTTTAGAAAATTGATAAATATATTAAGTTCAATCAAAAATTTATTATCTAAAAGCATTTTAGGTAAATTAACTATAACAGAGCTAGAAGAATGTGAAGATAAATATAAAGAAATAGATATGAAATTTGAGGACGTGAAAATTGTTAATCTTAAAAATTATTGTATCTCTTTTAAACTTGCTGATTGTTTAGATACAATAAAAAATGATTTCGAGAGGAGGAAATTATTATATCAACATTTTATTAAAAGGCATCATAAGTTAAATAAATATCTTAAAAATATATTGAAATTCCTAAAAATTAATTTAAATGATAATAAATATTTTAATTATGGAGAAGGGATCAGTAGTGATGATGTACACAGATATAAACTTGGAAAGAAAGCTTTGAAAAATTCCTTATCCAGACATGAATATAATCGTGTAAAATCAGTACGTAAAACTAACATGAACCACCATGCTGATATTGCTAAGGGTTATATTGATGATTTTTTAAAAGAAAATAATTTGATTATTAAATATACTCTAGATAAGATACCAATCTTAGTAGAGTCTAACAGTAAATATACTAATATAATCCCATCTATGAAATCAAAAGGAGCAAAGAAAAAATAAGAAGAGTTTAGATAATACTTCTTAGTTTAAGTTTTTTTATAATAATTTCTTAAAATACTAGACTTTATTTCTTTATACTTAGATTATAAGCAATTTATTTATAAGAGTTTATTAATCCAAAAAAAGTCTCTTAAAGTTGTGTGGCGCTGATGTTAGATCTAAAAATCTTGACCTTAAAATAGATTAAGCTTGTATGAACCTTTGTATACATATACTTCCCTAATATATAAACAGTTTTTTACTGCTTAAAAAGCTAAAATATTTATAATAGGTTAAATATGGGTTTAGTGGAAATTTGGTTTTTTACCTTTGTATGTGCATTTTACTTATTGGAAGTATTAGGAGATGAAATACCAATTATTAAATCAAATGCCCCTTTAGTGTATTGGGTGGGTGGATCTAAAAATAATGATTTTTCAAGCAAAAGATCAAAATTACAGAATTTTAATCAAACATATAAATCAGCTTATATGGGTAATTCAGAAATGTTACCTACAAGATACTCTACACGTGATACTAGTGATAAATCTATTGAGAGTAAAAACCAATATAATACTTTATTAGAAGATATTGAATCATCGCCTTTATTAGATAACTCTGAAGCAACATCTTTATCAGATAATTCTGAAGTATTACCCTTATTAAATAAATCTAAAATATCAACTTTATTAGATAAATCTGAAGTATCACCCTTATTAGATGAATCTGAAGTATCACCCTTAATAAATAAACCTCAAGTATCAACTTTATTAGAAACTTCCCAAAACATAAGTGAGGTTACCACTTCAATACCTAAACATGATACATCAATATCAAATATATATTCAAGAAGTGAGTCACAACTAGTAGATAATACAGTGACACCTTTTACTAATGAAATAAGTCTTTCAGAGTCTGAACCAAATTATAAAATTCCACTTGCTTCAAGATCTACAGATATTTATTCTGTTGAGCCAGAGTTAGAAAGTGCATTTGCTCAATTAGAAAGAATGAAAGAGGTTCAAGAGACTGCAAAAAAAGGTATAACTGAAGGGAATTTAATTAGTAAGCCTCAGTTGGAATCTCCTAATTATACAAATACTAAGACATTTCCTATTAGTACTTCATCATATGAAGCTGATAATTCAGATGAGATACTAGATTATGACAGATCTTCTAGAGAAACCTCATCTGATATTTTTAACCCAATGACTTTGAGTCTTCCTGAGATCAATAGTACGGAATTATTGGCTTCAAGTGAGGAATCTGAAAATTCCAACACTGAAGGTAATGACAAAGTTGTTGAGGTAATTAGAGTTGAAGAACCTGAAAAAGAGGAGTCTCAAGCTTCTATCTTAGAAGATCAGATATCTAATGAACCATATAATGGAGAATCTATGGATTCAGAATATCACAAACAAATTATTCAAGACAGTTCTATAGACACTCAAAATATTACTGAAAATTCCGGAAATATTATTAGTGTTGAAGATACAGAGTATGAAATAAAAAAAGAAGAATCTGATAATATTGAGACTGAAGATATATCTGGATATGGGATCCAAGAGGAAGAATCTGAAAATATATTAGATAATAATGAAAATACTGAAAGACAAGAAGAAAAATCTGATAATATTAGAACAGAGGATATATCTGGATATGAGATCCAAAAGGAAGAATCTGGAAATATATTAGATAATAATGAAAATACTGAAAGACAAGAAGAAAAATCTGATAATATTAGAACAGAGGATATATCTGGATATGAGATCCAAAAGGAAGAATCTGGAAATATATTAGATAATAATGAAAATACTGAAAGACAAGAAGAAAAATCTGATAATATTAGAACAGAGGATATATCTGGATATGAGATCCAAAAGGAAGAATCTGGAAATATATTAGATAATAATGAAAATACTGAAAGACAAGAAGAAAAATCTGATAATATTAGAACAGAGGATATATCTGGATATGATATCCAAAAGGAAGAATCTGGAAATATATTAGATAATAATGAAAATACTGAAAGACAAGAAGAAAAATCTGATAATATTAGGACAGAGGATATATCTGGATATGAGATCCAAAAGGAAGAATCTGAAAATATATTAGATAATAATGAAAACACTGAAAGGCAAGAAGAAAAATCTGATAATATTAGAACAGAAGATATATCAGAATATGAGGTCCAAAAGGAAGAATCTGAAAATATATTAGAAAGTAAAAATAATGGAATTATTGAAAAAAAAAGACAATCTGAAGGTATAATAAATGGTATCAACTTAGGAATTGAAAATGAACAAAGTCAAAAAACAAGTCAATATAAAACTATTGATTATACTGAAAAATTGGAAGATCCAATGCAAAAAATATATGGAATTAGTAAATCAAATCTAAATAACCCTACAATGTACACAATGGAATCTGAAATATCTGAGATGTCGGATGAATATTATAATAGTCTAAATGAGCAGGATACAGATATGCCAGAAAAATTCATTGAAGATACAAACAAAAACCTTATTTCTAAAATTACCCCATTTGTTGCCCAACTTCAAAGAAGATCAGATATTTTAAGAGGAGCATTATTACCATCTGTTGTTCAACTTCAAAATCTTTTAGGCTGTGCTCCTCCTTGTCCTTATCAGAGATTTTGTTTACAACTCGATAGAACTCTTAAAACTATTTCAAGAGACGAAGCAAAATTAGTTAAAATAGTTAATATTATTAATATTGCAAGATATATAACTATGAAAGAAACTACTAATTCCTTAAAATCTTTTAATAAACACGCTAAACAAAGAGCTTTCATGTTTGTTCAAAGATATTCTAAGGCAATTAAAAAAATACAAAATAATATTAAACAATACAAAAAAGTTGTATTCATAACTTATATAGCTCGTTTACTTCTACAAAGACTTCCAAATAAACCTTTACAAAGATATTCTTCTGAAGAGCTGGTAAAACTACATGAAGTAATAGTAGTTCTTGAAAAGGAATTTTCTAATTTAAGACTTTTAGTTGATAATCAACCAGATCTTAAAATTACATTGATAAAATTATTATCAGATTCAGAAAATAGAAATTATATTAAATCTATTAAAATGTATTTAAAAGAAGAGATTGAGGATATTTCGGCAAGAATGTTAAAATTTCAAAAATTCATCTCAAAACATGGTACACTTCTTAAAGTATTACGAAAGAAAATGGCAGATGCTGGATATCCAATAAATAAAAAGTTTATTATATTTGATAGAAAAGGTTTAACTAAAGAACAACATAGAGCATATGTAAAAAGTGCTCAAATGGATTTAAAAATTAAAAAGCAATATCTTGGAAAGCAATATAAGGAATTCAATAGGAAAGAGGCTCAAAAATGGAAAGATCTTAAATCAGTTATTAAAAATGTTAAGAATAATATTAATCTTAAATCATAAAATAATCTATAAAATTTTAGAAATATTCATAATTACTCAATTATTTTAATTTTACATAAATCTTTTATTTTTTCTTAAAATCTTCATTGCAATTATATATTAAACTTTTTATATTTATATTATCTAAACATTAATCTAAATAATATTACTTATATTTAGTTAAAAAGGAATCTGTATTTAGTCTCAAGCAACTGATTCATAAGTTTTGTATTGATTAACAAGGGATTGAAATAATTTAAAAAGGAGTTTTAAAGCTGCTAATGTTGTTGTAGTTGCATGTAATAAGTTTAATAATGAAATACTCAAATATAGTTCAGTTTCAGTAATACATTTTATATGTTGAGATTTTATTGCTAAAATCAATGCAATATTGACATATAATCCAAATGCCATTATACCACATTGTATTATTAATATTATTACTCCAATACCTATTAGTTTAAGATATTGACGTTCTGATCCGTTATGAATAACCCCTAAATACATAAATACAAATATACATATAAAATTTAAAAATAATACAACCTATAGTAGGACAGAAAGAAAATATTTAGATTTTTAATTATTTTAATATGTTTAGGGTTTTTAACCTACTTGTATAAATATTAAAGCATAATGATCACTACATGAAAATGTCTATATATAAGAGGCATAAGAATAACAAACATAAATAAATGGACTAAATTCACTTACAAAAAAAATTGGAATTATTAAACATATTAAAGATACTGTTGATGTTAATATATATATAATACCTAATATTAAATGTATAGATCATTTTTAAAAATTTATTATCTAATAGAAAAGTAAAAAATAGGAAGTCAATTTCAACTTACTTAAAACTTGGCATGTTGATCGTTCAGTATTAATAAGTAATGGAGCTGGTCCTCCACCTGGGACTTTCCTTCCAGAGAACATCTTAAAATACTAATCTAATATTGAAGTGCATCTCTCAAGCGCGATTTAAAAAAAAAAAGTATTTGTCGAAATTATAAAATATCTAAAAATTTGTGTTCTTTTTTTTTGATGTATGTTATCTAACAAATAATATATAATTATTTTTAAATAGAATGAGACTAAGATTTTCACCAAATTATACTAGATATACACGGAAAAGAAAGATACGGTAATAAATATATTTTAAAAATAAACTCTCATTTAGCTAGGGATTAGAGATTTTAATATAAAATAAAATTTCAAGAATTATTATTATAAGAGAAAATTATTTATTAAAATTTAATGTATGTATTTTAAAAAAACTATTTATTGTAATATATAAGATTCTTAATTATATAATCATCAAAAAATATAAAACCCTAAGTACTTCTTTACAAAAAAGAAGTGTTATATTTTAATTATAGTAAATAAATCACAAACTTTTTTTATATATAAAATACAAATAATTCTATAATTACTTATATTTATATTATATATATAAATGACCTTACTATTTCTACTAAATATATATATATAATTTTAAGTTTAAATCCTTAAAATGTAATATTAAATTCAATATAAATAGTTATTTATATGATAACTTAAGTATATTTCCTAAAATTTTTATATTTTAAAGGGTCTATATATTTTTATTAAAGCTTAGTAGTCATTTCAATCCTTCCTCAAAGTATATAAATATAAATAGAATAATTTATTAGTAAATTAAGATATATATATTAAAGATCTTTATATATGATAATTGAACTAAAATTGAATTCGTGACCCTTAAACTATATTAATACACAATTAACTAATATATTGTAAAGTTTAATCATTAGAGATAATTTTAAAATAAACAACATTATTTATCCTGTTATCTGTAATTATATTCATTATATATTTTGATAATTCAATTTTAAGATTAATATTTAAATAGAAATTTAAATTTTGAATTTAAAAATGATGTAATAAAAGTTTATTTTTTAATTTTAAGTTAATTATAAATTATCTTTTAAAATTAAAAAAAAAAAAATAGTCATAATATTAAATTACATAATTTATTTGATTATATGTTTTATAATTAAAGTTATATACAATACTATATCTAATACTGCAATATTAATGATTAAATTAATAAATTAAACTAGAATGTATTTTAAAAAAATCCATAAAATATAGAAATGATAATAGGATAATAATATTTATTTCAAAAAGTAGATAACACTATTTAGTTATTTATATTTTTTTTGAATTGAATAGTAATTATTGTAAAGATAATAAAATAAAAACTTCAAAGATGATTATTTTGAGATTTATAATATCATATTGATAATTTGTATATATAATTAACTTTTTATTTATGATTAGTAACTTTAAGCCTTATTTTTGGGGTATTATTTACTAAAAGCTATATATTTACATTATGCATTATAATAGAAAACATACTATAAATGTTATTAAAGGACAAAATAGTCTATTCTGTGTAGTAATAAAATATTTCTAGAATAACCTCAAAATAATAATTCCTTTATATTTTAAATATAAAATTTTTATTTATAACTAAAATAAATTATATTATTTGATTATTAAGATTAATAAATTTGCCTAAATATTAATTTTGGGAGAAATGATCTTAAGATATATAAAACTTAATATTTTAATATGCTTAATTCGTGTACAAATAACAAAAACATATTAAAGTAATAAAGTTGAGATTATTATTAGTAATTATATAATAAAATCTTAATAGAATACTTTTAATGAGATTAATTGTATATTTGAGTTATTTTGTATTGAATAATATATTATTAAAGTTAAAGTTCAAACTTCATAATACTATTTATCCAATGATAGTAAATCGACCACCTCCACGTTGAATAAACTTCTTAGTTATTTTCAAATTAGACACTTTATTAATAGACTTATAATCATTATTAATAGATTCCCCAAAATAATTATGAGATTTTTTATCTATTTGATTACTTAGAGATTTAATATTATTCAAATTACTTATTTGCATAATGGGATTTTTAATATTATTTACAGTATTTTCAGATTTCCAAAATACAGAATCTATCTTTTTAATATCTTTATTTATTTTATTATTGCCTATGTTTTCAGTTTTACGGATTTTTTTTGCTACTTGTCTTTTTTCAAGATAGTCCGAAATCTCAATATGATCAAATACATGTGAATTTAAATATATACATCTATGACATGCTAAATGTATTGATTGCAAAAGTTCTTCCAACCTTTTAATTGCTATTGACTGTTTTTCACTAGACACATCTAATAGATTTACTTCATGATTAATTTCTTTATTAATATTTTCTGCCATAGAACTAAGATCTATGATTGATTTTTCCATATTATTTGAATTATTATTATTATTGAAATTTACATCTTTATTTATTATTATCTGTTTAAGATGTTTTATTTGACTTGACGCCTCTTTAATTAATCCTCTTTTTAATTCCTCAAATTTACTTTGTCTTAATTTATCAATCTCATTTCCATTTTCTGATTGAGAGTCTGAACCAAATTTAACAAACTTTTTCCAATAATTAGTATCAACACCTATTAATGTTGCAAGATTATCATCATTTAAGATTTCATCTTCATATTCATCATCTTTATATTCATCATCAGTCCAAAGTTCGCTAATTACATCATCCATATACATAAAATGATTACTCATCTCATTCCTCCTACGTTCAATACGAGTTTCACCATCTAAGTTGTCATCAACTAAATTAAGAAAGTTATGTAGTGAAGATTTTCGTTCTTTTAAGCCTTCTAAAGTGAACAACTGACGATATTGCTTCTCCTCAATTTCTTGAATATGTTTTAAATGAGCCTGCATAGCATCTCCATTTAAACCAATTTCATCATCAATTACTCCATTATCTATTAAATCCGAAATATCACTAATTTCATCCCAATCTAAATCATTATCATCATCTTCATCTTGTAAATCGTTACTTTGTTTTGTTATCTTATGTAGTCCATAAATATTATCATCATTTTCACTTTCTTCTGCTTCCTGTTCTAATAAATGGCCATATTCTTCTTTTATTTTACGAATTAACTTTCTCTTTTTGATCCTTATCTTCTTTAAGCGATTATATGCTACTCTTTGTTTTTGAGTTAATATTTCTGGTACTAAATTTTGATTTTCTAAAGATTCAGGAGATAAATTCTCTTTTATTCCATTATCTAAATTATTAGCAAAATTAATTTTTTCGTGATTATCCAAAGATGTGTTTATTATTTGTTCTGATATTTCTTCTCCTATTATTGAGTTTTCGAATGAAGATTTAATGTGCTTGATATCTTTTTTTATTGAATATTCAGAATCTATAGAATTTCCATCCTTGTTTATTTTATGAATTATATCATCTTCTATATAGTCTACCTCCCCATCATTATCTAAATTATCTAACTGTTCATCAGAGATGTACTCAATTTCCAAGGGTAATGATGGAATAAAATCATCAACTTTTTCATATATTTTATTCAATTCGTCACAAGATTCACTGTTTTCCAAGGAATAACTTGTATTATTTAATGAATTGCTTAGGATTTCAAAATTGTGTCTTAGATTATCAACTGGTTCTTCCAAATTCAATATATTATCTTGTGAGATACTAGAATTTATTTTTTTTAGTTCATTTTCTGTTACTGACTCTATCTTCACTTTTTTTATATTTGGATATTCAGGTAAAAATAAGTTTAAATTAAAATATAAATTCCAATGTTTCAATTTTTCAACTTTTAGTTCCATAGTCTTAGAGTCTAATATATCAAAGTGATTTATTGCGAGATTTTCAGCCTGTTTCTTTAGTTTTATCCTTCTAATTTTTGTCTGACTTTGTTCCCTTAATGAAAGTTGTTTTGGTGGTTCAATTATAATAGTATATATAGGCAAATCATCACCAGATTTATTATTTAAAGTAGTCCAAGTTGGCATAGGTCCTAAATTATAGAGCATAAATTTAAATATATGATATTGAGAATCAAAATTTGACTTTTGATTTGATTTTTCAATATTTATAAATTTTAAACCTTGTATATTCTCAGTCTTTTTGTTTTTATTTGTATTATATGCACTAATATTACTGTATTCACTTTTTAAATCCTTCAAATTATATAAACCTTTTGTATCAATCCTATCTTTAGACCACTTCTCCCAAGGTCTCATTTTATTAGAAGTACTAAGATCCAATATTTCATTCCATTTTGAATCCAAATTCTCATCTATTTTTAGTTTATTATCTGTATCTGAATAATCTATATCAGACTTGGTATCATTCTCAAAAAGGTCCATAGTTGTATCTTTAGCAGTATTAATAGAAGCAATTGTAGAAAGTGAATTTGGTGTATCTATTGAATTACCAATATCTAATGAAGTAATTTTTTGATTATTAAAGTTCATAGAATATTTCTGGTAAGTCTTACCATGTTTATCGATATATTTGCAATGTTGAGCAGCTCTACAAAGCCACCACAATTTAGTTCTAGATTTTATAGATATTAAACCCCACCTTAATCTTTCTGACTGATCCACTGAATTTAAGTTATCTTTATTTTCATTCATTTTTTTAATTAACTTCAACTGTGTATTAGCAACAGATATAAGTTTAGATAATACAACTCTTCCACAATTATCCTGAACGGAGACAACTACCGAATCATTAATATCTAAAAAGTAATTTGGATACTTTTTAGTATCACGACATACTTGAATATTATTACCAAAAACAAAACTTTCTATTAATGGGCGAGTAAAATTATTTGTTATACAGGCTAAATATCCATATTGTTCAATCCATTTTTCATAAAAAAATGCCAAGCTTCTCCCATCTACTTTGTTACAATCTGAATTGTCTAAATTTGATATTATATTTGATTTCAAGTTAAAAAAAGTAGATGGAATCCATTCTTTAACCCCATATAGTATAGAATCATCTTTGAAAACAAAAGGAATTAATAACTTTTCTAATAAACTTAATTCTTCTATATTTATATTTAACTCATGTGGGGTCTTATTAACTACCATATTATTTGATTCATCTGCTTTTTCATCTAAATTGCAGTTTATTGATCCAAACAAATTATCTTCATACAAACTATCCTCATATATCTTTTTTGACATATTGTTATCTTTATTTAAGTCATATTCATGAATATTTGCAGATTGTTTTTTTGCAGATGTTAGTACATCTAATTTAGACAAAAAGTTATCTATTTCAATATCACTTTTATTTCCTTTATCATCAATCTTTAATTTAAATCTTTTCTTTTTCCTTTTTTCTTTAAAATTATCCAAATTTTCATATTTAGAGAACTTATCTTTTTTATTATCATAAAAAGATAAACTTGATTTAGAATACGAATCCAAAGTATTAATCGGAACTTCTATATCTCTCCTTTTTTCCCTCTCACCATTCAAATTACTTCTAATATTTGTCTCGCTATATATTTCTGAAGATGTTCTATATTGTTCCAAACTCTCAGTATTATTGTTTTCAAAAGTAAAACATTTACTATTATCTTTAACCACTGAACCATCATCATCTTCCCTTATCTTATATTTCCTTAGTCTCCCTAGCCCTTTTTGAAAATAAGAATCCCTAACATTATTACATTCATCCATTAATAGAACTTAATTTTAATAATTTAATTCCTTGTATTCAAAATTTTAAGATGTGGAATTCTATATACCCCACCCAAATATCCAACTAAATACATGTAGCGGTAATAAAAAAAATAAAAATAATTGTATATACTATACCATGTCATATTAGGCGCCAAATATTGTAAGAAAATACCTTAGTATTATGTAATGGTGATTTAATCTTATATACTGATGTAATTATTTAGATATATATTGGAATGATTGAAAAGGGTGATGGATATGGTGGAGAAGGATATAATTATGTATCTGAATACTACAATTCTGTTTTTATATGGCTTCATGGGAGGGGGGATACAGCAGATAGTTTTCTGAGATATATCCAAATATTTCAACAATATAAATCACTTAGAAGAACCAAGATAATTTTATTGACTGCACCTATAATTTCACTATCATATCTTGAAGGATACCCATTTAGAGCCTGGTTTGATATGTTGAAATTTGAACCATTATTTCCTGAAAAACCAGAACACCTTTTTAAAACTTCATCACGAATAATAAATATAGTTTTAAAGGAAATAGAAAAAGGTATTAAATCAAGTAGAATTGGAATTGGGGGTTTTTCACAAGGTGCAGCTTCATCTTACTTTATTTCTTTAAGTTCTATAAAGTGTACATTTGGATTTTGTATAGTAGTAGGAGGTTGGCTACCTTTGATTAATAATTTTTGTGAGAAGAAAGAAGTTGAGTTACTAAATAATTATATTACATTTGAAGTCACAGATGATGTTAAAAAGAATACTAAATTTTTAATTCTACATGGAGAATCAGATCCTAGAGTCCCATTATTTTGGTCTAAAAGATGTCAAGATATTGTCCTATCTATTATAAAACCAAAGAATTACCAAAATAAAATATATCCTAATATCGGTCATACTATATCTATTAGAATGGAAAATGATTTTTTGGAATTTATGGCAAAATGTTTGGAAATTTGTTAAGTATTAACTTTACAATAATTTTACATTATCCTTTTTAGTTTAGAATTTCTATAATCTGTAATTTTAAAAATATATTTTAATTTAAGATTAAGTATTGAATCAATATCTTTATTTCATAGATTAAATAATAGTAAAAAAGAATATTGTATATACTTATTCAAAAATTTAGCTTTTTTAAAGTTTATATAATAATGTAGTATTTTAATATTATGTATACTTTTATAATATTAAAACTTAATTATACTCAATATGACATTGTAATGATCTTAAAAGACAAGTATATTTTCTAAAATAAAGATAAGTATAAACATTAACTGTTGTAAAGTGTCATGAAATATGAAATCAAAATAAAGTCTAAGATTACTTTTTATATTCAAATAATGTATTTGAAATAATGTGAATATATTACTTTCACTTTCTAATTAAAATAGTTTATTTTAAGGATCAGTTATGAAGTAATACTGACTGATTTATACCTAAGACCCTACCAATAAAATTATTACTAATATAATAATTAAATTGTATCCTATATTATAAATTATTTATATTGAATTTACAATATTTAAATAAGTTAAAATGAAGTTGAATAGTACTATTATAAGGGATTGAAATAGATATTAAATCACCCTAATTATTACATTTAATGAAAAAATTTAATATTTAATTTATTACAACTATAGTGAAATAATAAAAAAGATATTATTTCATTATAGTTGTAATAAATTAAATTTATATTGTATATATTATTTTAGAAGAGGGGAAATAATTAAGTTATTCCAAAAAGGCTTTTGATATTCCCAAGATAATAATATATACCCAAAGACCTATTACAAGAAAAAAAACCAAATTTCTGATATTATTAGTAATTGGTATTCCCCATAAAGCAACTCTTCTATCTTCTGTATCTAAATCTTGAGTTAATTTAATATGTTGAAGTACAATTTGCTGAGCTGAACACGGAGGCATAAAGGAAAATGCATCCCAAAATAATTTCCAATGTAGAGTCTCTGTAATGATATTTGAATGGTTTGCAAGCCATACAATAACTAAAAGTGTTATACTATAAGCAGCAAATATCATTAGAAGTGTAAATCCAAATTCATCTAAAAATGTAAAATAAAAGATATCTTTAGTATCCGGTGGTATAGAGAATGGCTGAAGATGTTTAAACCAGATGGTTAAAGCAACGGTTAAACCAATAACAAAGTAGATATTATTGTAAGGTCTACAGGCCACTAAATATCTACGATGCATTCTCCTCATAATTGCATGTCTTACACGAACCCATTGGCATAGTACTATATCAAATCTTCCAGGAGGAATGAAAACAGCCCCAGAAGGGTTTAGTGTTGAAAATTGGTTGGAAAAGTTAGGTGGAAATATTCCTTCAGAGTTTATGTCAGATGTTACATTTCTTTTAACAGAGTTAAACATTCCATAATTAATATCTGGATATGCATGCAGAAAGTATTTTATAACTTGAATTCGTTGTTGTAACATAAGTATAAGTAGAGAAGGGACCTTTAGAATTGCGAATGCAAGGATCCAAGTATTTATAACTAAAATGACTTCTGTAAATACTGCAATATGAATGTTGTTGGTTACAAAATTATAAGATTCATTATATCTATAAAATTCTCTGAAATTTCCAAATAGATAACGTTGAATATTAGATGCAACAGCAATACCAAAGGCACATATTCCAACCAATAGAGTAACATTTGCATATTGTTCTACAGATATCTGTTCTTTTTCAATGATATCATTTTGAAAAGATTTTTGTGATTCAGCAGATCCAGTATTTATTAAAGTTTGTTGAACATCAAATTCATCACATACAGTATCGTTGATTAAGTCCTGCTTTTGTTTATCATGATGTAAATTTTTATTGGGCCTTATTGCTTGTTCATGAATTTCTTCAGCATTATCATCTAGATCTTTATGCCAAATATTATTTTCTTTTTCAGTGAGTTCTTCCCTAATAAAAGCTGTTGCAATATCCGTAGCATCATTTCCTCTAAGTGAAAGTAATTGATTAGCTCTTAATAATGCCCCCAAAGCAAGTAGAAATCCTGTATATACTACATGACGAACTCTACCTACTGAAGTCAAAACTATTATACAATAAAGTAGTGAAATAAACTTCAATACTCTTATTAATCTATAAGTCTTCCATTCAGATTTCGTCAAATAAAGATTTTCAGAATTGGATTGCCCTAAAATTGGAACAAACCTACAAACATCATGTTGGCTTCTAGATGAGTAGACAATAGTAAAAGAAGAACATGCAATCCAGAAAATCAAAGCTATGAGTAAAATTATTAAAACTCTTTCTTGAAATGCCTTTAAAGTAGGATCTACTTTCCGCAAAGGGCAAGAAAATACTAGATCCAAAACTTGTTTACGTTTTTTCCAGTTAATTACTCTAGGATTCATATGATTACTTTCTAATGTAAAAAATCCTGAATTTGCTTCTTGCCAAAATAATGGAACGAACTCATTATTTTGAGTATTTCTTTGTTCTGTTTGATCTCTTGTTGTCTCAGTATCTGGATAACAATAAGGTGATTGAAAGTATTCGAATTGTGAGATCCATTCTGTACATAATACAGGAGTTAACCCTAATATTGCTGATAAGCTTAAACTAACTCCCACAATTTTGAGTGTCATTGCCACATCTTCAGAGTCAAGAAATGGAAGAACTGCATTTGGATGAAGCATGACTGCTACTATATCAGCGGAATCAATTTGGCTAGTAGAATCTAATATTTTTTTAACAATTGTATATAAAGGTTTACATAGATTTGGTCGTTTTGAAAATCCTTCGAAATCTCTGGGTAGATTAGAAAATACAAATTTGAGTTGATCTACAGAAATTACGTTAGTTAAATCCCTTTCGCAAATCCACTCATGTAATGTCTCAGGACTTCTTAAAGCTATTTCCGTAATTACAGAAGTGGCTCCGGTCCTTGATGCATGATTTATAGCAAGTTTGAGAGCAGATCTACAGTTAGCATTATCTAAATGCTGATAATCTATTAGGATATTAAGAATCTCACGAGCTTCTGCAATTTGTCCATTAAACAATGCAAATGTTAGAGCATTGTGACCATCCCTGGATATACGATGCAGAAACAGGAGACTTGGATCTTTTAGTGATCTTACCATCGCATTGATTGTAGATGCAGTTGGGGTTCCTCCCTTACGAAGTAATTCAAACAAATAAGAAGAGTAGTCCAATGGATTAGATAACTGTAAAAGAGAGGCTAAGAGAACTTGACGAGGATCAGGGTCTCTATCATCTATATGAGAAATTCTGGTTTCATATGAGGAACTCATATCTATATAATCTAAATAGTTGCCAATGTTAGTATTTTCTATATTATTTTGTTTTATATCTACTAAACTTGATCCTTGAAAATTTGAAGAATTTATTGTATTGCTTAATAGAAAGTCTATTGGACCCTTTGAAGATTTATCTAGCAAATGAGGATTACAGCTAGTAAAGCCTTGATACTTAAATTTAGTTGCATTTCTATAAAATTCCAGTATCTCTCCCAATAAAGCATACATCTCTCGAGATGTGATAACATTCAACAAAGATCTTCCTTCCTCATCTTTAACATCACATAGGCTGGTATCTTGTCTTGCATACTCTATACGAAAGAGATTTATAATAGATGACTGCTGAACCTGAAGAAGTCTAAGTATATCTAGTAAGCGACGAACATGATAAGGAGGTCTGACTGCATAACTCTTATAATGTCCCATTGAATATCTATTCAAATAATTTTTGTAAAAAGTAGGATCTTCCAATAAGCAAGTTACAATATCAGGATGGTTCATTTTAATTGCTACAGATAACGGATCATTATTGTTATTATCAGTAATTGTTTGATCTGCTCCATTATAGAGTAAGAGACGAACAATTGATAGCAAATTATTGCTGGCTGCTACTAGTAAAGGAGTAACTCCCGAAATATCTCTAATATTAGGGTTTGCTCTTACATTCAGCAACAAGCTTACTAGTTTTTCATCCTCTGTTAAAACAGCATGAAATAATGCTGTTCGCCCTGTATAATCCCTGGCATCAATTAAAGTGAATTTCCTTTTAGTAAAATTATTTGGTAATATTTGATTATTTTCTATATCTGAAATTCCACTATGGGGTTGGAACGCATATTGCCTTTCAGCTAACTCTAATAATACCTTAACTGCCCCAAAATTTTTGTGCATTATTGCCAGAATTAGTGGGGTATATCCCCTTATTTGAGCCTTTTCTGAACTCATTCCTTTTAAAGAAAGATAATACATCATTATACTACTTCTAGGTGTTGAGTGACGAGATAAAATAGTTAAGGGAGTCTCACCCCCCCACCCTGGAGCATTATCATATAAAGAGTAAATGTTCACTAATCCTTCAGTTTCGTTAGTTTTATAGTATGAAATTGAGTACTCATCAAGCTTCAAAAATTCTTCAACAGCTTGAATATCTAAATTTTCAATTGCATTCATCATCCTGTCAACTCTTATAGTATAATTTATATTTGATCTAAATGGTTCAGAGGTGAAGTTAAGCCATAATATAGTATGATCATTAACATAATCGGATAAATTTGCAACAGAAGAATCTTTACATTTTACTAAGTAAAAAAATAGCCAAATCTGTTTAATAGACAAAACTAGATATAATCTCCAGAAATTTTTGAATACCAACATTTATCCTTGGTTAGACACATTGCAGCTTAGAATTAATACTATTACTCCTGAAAATCTCCCCAGCCAAAAAAATAATTACAGCTTAATTTAATGTATTATTACTAAATTTCTGTGTAGTTCACAATCCGGTATATTTTAATTATAAACTCCTTATAACTTTATTAAAGTTAAAATTTAAAATGAGCACACACAATTCCCGCTTACTGACGGTACTGTTATAAATATATTTTTACCGCCATAAAAAAACCGGCTTTGTGTGGAAAAGTTTCTGACTTTCTAATATTAGGTACCAGAAATATGTGAACATGTCCAAAGCGCCTTTTTTATTATGTATGTTCACAATCAACTGAAAAGTAAATATTTACTTATACAGAATTATTCAATTAGTTACATTAAATTCTAATATACATAAAAGACTATAGAACAATGTACTGGAAAGTTTATTGTGGGATTTTATCGCCTTTTATCCCAAATATTAGCAATATGAGTCAGAATTTCCAAAACAGATTTAGAAACGGAATGGAAGGCAAAGAGTCTATAAGAAGGAAAAAAAGAATTGATTTAAAAAATATAAGCAGATTTGCAAATATAAGTGCAAGAAAAGTGGAATGTTGCGGAATAGTGGGATATATGGGCTCTGGAAATGCTCAAAGTATTTTGATTCAAGGAATTGAAATTTTACAGAATAGAGGTTATGATTCCTGTGGAATGAGCACATTAGATGGAAAGGGAGGCTTATTTACAACTAAATTTGCTTCAAGTGACAATGGAGATGCAGTTGAACATATCAAAAATATATCAAAAGACGTACATGAGCATCACAATATTGGGATAGCACATACGAGATGGGCTACACATGGTGGCAAAACAGATCTGAATGCACATCCACACCAGGACTACAAAAATAGAATTAGTTTAGTACACAATGGGACTATTGAGAATTACTTAAGTTTAAAGGAAGAGCTGGTACATAAGGGTATACACTTTTTATCAGAAACAGATACAGAAGTTATAGCAAACTTAATCGGATCATATTTGGATGAGGGTAAAGGATTTTCAGAAGCAGTAGAATCTGCTTTATCGCGTCTCCAAGGGACATGGGGAATTGCCATTCTACATAGAGACTATCCAAATGTTATGATACTAGCACGCCATGGATCTCCTCTATTAGTAGGTGTACAATCAGATCACATATATGTTGCATCAGAGACCTCAGCTTTAGCAAATTATACAAATCAGTATGTAGCTTTACAAGATGGTGAAATTGCAGTACTATCTCCAGAGGGAATAAAAAAATTAATAACTCCTTCAAGATTGATAGAACTTCAGCATGAAAAGGTTGAACCTTCACCATTTCCCTATTCTCACTGGACAATGAAGGAGATATTTGAACAGCCACATGCTTTGGCCCGTTCTTTAAATTTTGGGGGCCGTATCTCTCCATATAATAATAAAGTAAAATTGGGGGGTTTAGATATGCATAAAGATGAACTTTCAAATATTGAAAATCTTGTTATTCTTGGATGTGGTACAAGTTACCATGCTGGTATATTTGCTCAGCTAATAATGGAAAATATTTGTGGTTTTAACACAGTATCAGCAAAAGACGCCTCTGAGACACAACTTACAGGTTATCCGAAGTATAATGCAGGAATTATTGCTGTATCACAGAGTGGAGAAACTGCAGATACAGTAAAAGCAACAATGATGGCAGATAAACTAGGAATCCCCAAAATATCAGTAGTGAATGTTGTAGGCTCTCTATTAGCTAGAACTACAGGTTGTGGTGTGTATCTAAATGCGGGAAGAGAAGTTGCAGTAGCTTCTACCAAGGCATTTACTACTCAAGTTTTGGTTTTGTGTTTGATTGCAACTTGGTTTGCTCAAAATAGAGAGATTAATTCTTCTTTATATAATTGTAATGAGTTGCTGGAAGCCATACATAGGGTTCCAATAAGTATTGGAACTACACTCCAAGTTAAAGATCAGTGTGAACAAATTGCAAAAAAGCTTATAGGTCACAAAAATATATTTGTTCTTGGACGTGGACTTGGATATCCAGTAGCTATGGAGGGAGCGCTCAAAATAAAAGAGATATCATACATCCATGCTGAAGGATACCCAGGTGGAGCTTTAAAGCATGGTCCATTTGCTTTAATAGATAAATCTGAAGGAACTCCTGTATTCCTAGTGATCCTGTCAGATGAATATACTTCTTTGATGCTTAATGTTGCTCAACAAGTAAAGGCTAGAGGAGCAAAAGTGATATGCATTACGGATAATCCACAAATATGCCAAGATGTTGCTTCTGAATGTATAGTAATACCTTCAAATGGGCCTTTAACTGCTTTAAATGCAGTCATTCCATTTCAATTAATTGCATATTATCTTGCAGTTCAACAAGGAATAGATCCAGATAAACCCAGAGGTTTAGCAAAAACAGTTACAGTATTCTAGATAGTGACATGCATTGTGGTGGATAATGTTTAACATTTAATAGAATTTATAAATTTAGTATATGGTTTTAAAATTACAGCAAAGCATCGTCTACTAATTATAATAATTAAATTGGAAATATTTCTGAGTAAAATACTTAATTTTATAATAAAAAATTATTAAATAATAATAAAAGAAAATAGAACATTTCGAATAATTTACTAAGAACTCAAGCTATTTAATAAATATTAAATTTGGTATACTCATTTAAAAGGAGCAACGTGGTCTTTCTAAAGTTTATTTGGGATTAATCTAGACTACTTTTTAATAAATATAAAATTTGCAAAGTATTTAGAAGTATTTATATAAGTTTCTTATAAAAGTTATTGCCTCGATACTTTAAAAATGTAACGACAATATTTACATTTGTGAGTAGAAAAAAAAGATTTGAATGAAATATCTGATAGTAAGAAAAAGAAAAAAAAGTTGGTTTTATATTGATATTCTTCATATAAAAAAAGTATCTAATAAAAATAAAAATAAGAAAAAAAAAAAAGGTGCACTTACACTTAAAAAACAGGAATTTCCTAACATTTCCAATTTATAAGCAAAATATAGCCAAATTAATTTTGCAAATAACCAGAGTATTAAAGATATAGATATTGGAGTAGTTGTCTCAATTATTATCCAAAAAATTTCATATGAATCTAGCGATCTCTTGTCATTGTATTGTTGAGGAATATTATTGAAAATATAAATAAAAATAGCTATTGGCATAAGTATAAACCACCAAATAAAATATTGAGATGTGCAAACCTTGTTAAATGCAACAAATAGAACTGTTTGAATAAATATAGCCATACAGCATTCCTGTTTATTAACTAATATTATACCAGCAAACATAACAGTTATAATTTGAGATGTAAAAGAAATAAGTGGAATTGATTTATATAACAAGTCAGAATCGAAGGGTTTATTACTTGGATCCATTGTTAAATAAAATAAATAAAAAAATGGTGAGAAGTTATGGCGTTGATCTCGGCGTATAAAGTGGTAAAGATAAGCTTCATAAATGAATGTCCACCCATATAAATAATAAAAAAATCCAAATAATAAAGAAAATACCAAAAAACTTGTAAATCCAAATAATAATTGATTGTAATCTAGTGAAGTAAACAGTTCAATTGGAAATTTGATTATATATTTATAAATTGAGCATTTCATTTTTAAATAATAAGGATTAATATAAAATATAAATGGCACAGCATAAATGATTGGATATAACTTAAAATGAATAGCTAAACCAAAAAATACTCCTGAGTATATTAAGTATTTTCTCCTTTTAAATAATCCAAGCCTAGCCTTAATTATATAGTACAAAGTTAACAAAACTAATATTGAAGGAATTACATCAGCATTTCCTCTTGCAGCTATTACAATTGAAAATGGATTTAGTAACCATAATGATACTAAAATATCCCTAAATATTGGATTCTCTAAATTGTACATATTAATATTATCTTGTTTTTCTTTTGAATTCTTATGATCTATTTTAATTAATGCCACCATCTCTAAAATTTTATTTAGAAGTTTACCAGCCAATATGTTAATACAACAAAATAACATCTTCGTTGCAATTTGTAAATTAAAAAAGAAGTTTGTACATGTTATATATGCAATCAAAGGTGTGTATCTATATGTTTCTCTAGAATATGGAGATTGGCCATTATAAACAGCTCTTGCTGCATCTACAAAAACCTATATATATATTATAGGTGATTATTACAAGTACATTTTTTACATATTAAGGACTATAATACAAAAAAGATAACCTACCAAATAATCAATATCAGTAAATTTTACTGACCCCCCGTACCAGTCATGAATAAGACCATAAAACAAAAGTAATAGGTGAAAAGTAAATGCGCAATAATAAATATTTACATCTATAGATCTCAATATAGTTAGAAACATCCAATTCTTACAGTTACTTTATAATATTCAAAAAAAATATTAAAAATTAATAGCGAACGTCTTAAAGATAGTTACACATTTTGGCGGTGCTTAGTAGACATCTTTTTTGTCGGAAATGAGAAATAAGATCACCTAGCTTATCCGAGTGTTACGGGAATATATTCATATATTCCAAGCGTGGGTTAACATTTTAATTGTTTCTTTTTATTCCTAATCTATTATATTAATACCTATATATTTTCCAAATCCTACACCAACAATATATTACAATCCATTAGTTTTGTAAGTGGTTTTACTGTCAACTAAAACACCTGAATAATGAAAAATACACAGAAGTCTTCCCCTGGATCAAATCTCTACTTTAAAAAGACTGAAGATAACCTTTTGTATCACCCATTGACTGGTTCATCTACAAATGATGAGGAAATTGACTTATCATCCTTAATGGAAAATGTAGATACAGTTGAATATAGAAAAAAATCTCTTCCTTTTCATGAGTCATATGATCCTCCTAGCACACTGGATAAACCATATCATATATCAGACATAAACACATACTATTCGATGTATGAACGTAGTATATCTGATCCAGATGCATTTTGGAGCGATATTGCAAGACAACACCTGCGGTGGATTAGGGATTTCACACAAGTACAGAGTCAAGGACCTGAATTTCAGGATCGTATGTTCTGGTTTATTAATGGGAAATTAAATGTATGTGATAATTGTGTAGACAGATGGGCTGAAGAACAACCAGATACAGTTGCATTAATTTGGGAAGGAGATAATCCAGATTGTAATAAGAAAATAACTTATATGGAATTATTTCGAAATGTATGTAAAATGGCAAATGTTTTGAAACGTTTTGGAATAAAGAAGGGTGATTCTGTAGGTATATATATGCCCATGATTCCAGAAACTATCTATACAATGTTGGCTTGTGCGAGAATTGGAGCTGTTCATATGGTTGTTTTTGCAGGATTTGCAGCTCGTAATTTATTAGAGAGATTAATCAATGCAAAATGTAAAATTGTTGTTACTGCTGATCAAGGAATTAGAGGTAATAAGATTATTCCTTTGAAAGATATAGTAGATGAGGCATTAGAAGATCTACATGAAGTTCATACATGTATTGTATTTAAACACCTAAATGGACCCATAAATGTAGTAGAAGGAAGAGACTATGATGGAAATGCTTTAATGAGATCTGAAAGATCTTATTGTCCTCTTGAAGAGATGGATAGTGAAGATCCTTTATTTTATTTATATACATCTGGAAGTACAGGAACTCCTAAAGGAGTGCAACATTCTACAGCAGGATATTTATTATTTGCAGCTATTACTCAAAAATATTTGTTTGATACTCATAAAGGCGATATCTTTGGATGTGTAGGTGATATAGGCTGGATTACAGGTCATTCATATCTAGTATATGCTTCATTATGTAATGGGTTGACAACTTTAATTTTTGAAGGAGTTCCAACATATCCTGATCCTGGTAGATATTGGGAAATAGTACAGAAATATAAAATAACACACTTTTATACAGCTCCTACAGCTTTAAGAGCTCTTAAACGTTTTGGAGATGAGTATGTAAAAAAATATGATAGGTCATCATTAAGGATATTAGGATCTGTAGGAGAACCAATTAACCCCTCAGCATGGAGATGGTATAGAAATATTGTAGGGGATGGACGGTGTCCAATTGTTGATACATATTGGCAAACAGAAACAGGAGGTATTGTTATTGCTCCAATTCCTGGTTGTGTTAAAACTAAACCAGGATCCTCTACTTTACCATTTTTTGGTATAAAACCTGTCATATTAAATCCTGAAACTGGTGTACCTATTGAAGGGGTAGGATCTGGAGTTTTATGTATTCAAGATCCATGGCCTGGAATGTTCAGAAGTATTTTTGGTGCTCATTATTTACATGAAGAATTATATACAAAACCATTTCCAGGGTATTATTTCTCGGGAGATGGAGCCATGAAAGATAGTGATGGATACTATTGGATTACAGGACGTGTTGATGATACAATAAATGTTGCAGGACATCGTCTAAGTTCAAAAGAAATTGAGGATTCTCTTACGAATCATGAATCTGTGTCTGAAGCTGCAGCAGTTGCTGTTGACCACGATGTTAAAGGCTATGCATTAGTTTGTTTTATTGTATTAAGATCAGATCATTTTCATTCTATTATTGGGGAATCATCAAAGACACCAAATATTGAGCATGAGCTTAGACAATGTGTAAGAAAACAAATAGGACCTGTAGCATCTCCAGATCATATTGTGATTGTTGATGGTATACCGAAAACACGTAGTGGTAAAGTTGTAAGACGTTTATTACGTAAAATTGCTAGCGGATCTACAGAATATGGTGATATTTCTACTGTCACTAATCCAGAATGTATCGAATCTATTGTTAATACATGGAATAAATATTTTATTAAAACATTTACAACTGAATGTGATGCAAGTGTATCCACAAATTCTAATACTATTGATTCACCTATTACTTCAAATCAAATTAAATATTAATATTGTTTATATAGAATTGATTATTATATGTTCAATATTTATTTATTTCATAGTAATTCTTATCTAAATATTATTACTAACTTTTCTTAAGTCTAATATATTATTCATATTATGACATCTTTTTTTCTCTTATTAAATCTCTCAAATGAAATATAAAGATATATTTAAATTAACAATTATATTTAATTATAATTACTTAGTATACTTAGAATTTATTTAATGATATATTACTGATCTTAGTTTTTTGACTTTAAATTAAGGAATTATATATTTTCATTAATAGAATATGGAGTGTTAAGAAGATAATATTAAATAATAAAATTATGCCTTGAAAAGCTGGAATTATTAATATTATCTTTTTATTCATTAATTATAATATATTTAAGATGTACTTTATATTATTTTGGACTTTTTTTTTATTACTATAAAATGGCTAGATTGCAAATATTATAAACTTGAAGAAGTAACTACTTATATAAAACATTGCTAATACTGATTTTTCTTTTGTATTAACCTAATCTTATTAGAAAATAAATGAGTAAATAAGAAATGTTTATATTTTTTTTATCTCAAATAATGTAAAATGAATAGGTATAGTAATGCATATATATGTTAGAAATGAAGTGTTTTTAAGAATATCTAAAATACAATGAACTAACTTAAACTCTTTAATAAAAAGAAGTTAAATCTTTAAATCATTAAATTTATTTAATATTAAAATTAATATTGTTTATATTACCGAACTAATAACATATTTTTATTAATAAATTTTGAACTCTAAAAGCATTATCGAGTTTCTATTGCAAGTTCACTAAAAAGAGATGTAAATTTTAAATAAAGAAAAGATATAGAGATAAATCAATTAGCTTTTAACTTCAATTTAATTTAATATCTTGAAGTAAGTTATGAACTTTTGAACATAGCTATTATAGAGGTTTTAGGATTTTATACTTTAGAAATACTTTAGATTTATTTCATATATCGGATAATCAAATATTCTCTTTCCTTTCAGAAAATGCAAAATAGAAATAATAACTCGTATTTATTTATTTATTTATATCTAATATTATAATCATATTTAACACTGAATTTTATCATTTAATTAAATATAATTTGTCTAATTTATACTAGAACTTAAATAACCTACAATTGAATCATGATATTTTTACTTTTACAATATTATTAAGTTTGTTTTCTTTAAATACTCAAATTAAATCTATAGAAAGTAAATTTTAATAAAAAGAAATATCTTAAAAACAATTTATATAGTCAATAAATATTTATATTCCAAAAAAAAAAGATTTGATTAAAAGTCTTATAACTAAATTAGGAGTGTAGTTACTTTATTAAATTTCAATGAAAATTCTAAAAAAAAGTCAAAAGTTTTGTAGTAGAATAAATATAATAGGGTAATAAATGTAATTATTTCCTGAATAAATAATTTTTTTTTTATTCTTAAGAATTATTCCTAAGTGATTCTAAAATAAAATATAAATTTAAATTTCTTGCCTTAGAGTTTTAATCTATGTATATTAAAGAAATAGTTCTAGGTATACAAAGTAATATAATAATTTATCGCATAGCTGGAGTATGTGGTACAGCTAATGCAGCTAAATTTCTAGGTCCTTTAGGCCTTCCAGATGGAAAAATTTGCCAAAATCTTAAAGTTTCATCACCTGCTCCTGTAACTATAGTTTGACCATCAGGAGACACAGCTAAATATAGAACCCTGTAAGTATGACCTGTTAATGTAACAATTTTTTGCATAGATGGCCACTTCCACAAAATAACTTGATTAAGACTATACCCATGAGTTGATACAAGTTCATTAACATTTCCACTCCATGCAATATTACAAACTTGGGATCCTGTATCTACAGCCATTACACAGCAGTTAGTTACAGTATTCCATACTCTAATGTGTCTATCTGCTGTTCCTCCCCCAGATGCCAAGAGCCCTGATTGATGAGGACTCCAAGACAAAGCTTTGACTGCAGCTGTATGCTCTTGAAACTGGCAAACTGGTGTTTCATATCCTTGAGACCAAATAAGTAATTTGTTATCATTTCCTCCGGTAGCCAATTGCATTTCATTAGGACTCCATTTAACTCCACAAACTTCTTGTTTATGACCTAACCATCTATTGCACCAATGTTCTTGTTCTCTTACATCCCTTAATAAAACTGTATGATCTCTACCTCCTGTTGCTAGTATTGGACCACACCAATCCATTGCTCCTACTCTTGCTCTATGACCTCCTAATGTACGAACTTTTTTTTGTACTGTAACATCCCATATTTGAATTGATCCTTGCCTAGTTCCAATTGCTACATGATTTCCTTGTTGAGTCCATGATACACTTGTAACTAAATCTTGTTCGGGTAAACTCATCAAGTTAGTTACTTTACTTGTAGATGCATTCCAGAGATAAAGAGATGAACTAAGTCCGACAGCTAACAAATTCGTAGAGCTCCAGTCTACAAGATTTAAATAAAAATCATCTTGTAAGTTTGGAGCATCTAATATCTTAAATGGGCCTTTTGGAATTCTTCTAGATATAGGTTCCATGCCTACACAAGCTTTTGAAAGAAACGATGGTTCCATGGTTACAGATCTCAATGGGATAGTGGCAAATGGATCAAAAATCTCATAATTTACATCTTTTGAATAATCATTCTCTTTTATACCAGTACCAGAATCTAATATTGATCTTTGTGGTACATTTAATATACAAGAATCGTCATTCCTTAGTGGTCTTGTTGTAGAAAATCCAGTAAGTGTTATTGGTAATAGCTCAGTAGCTAGCAAATCATTGTAAACAGCAAGTGGACTCTGAAATGATGGAAGTTCAGCCTTTTCATTTAATCCGAATCTACTATATCTGTCATATATAAATCTTTTACTACTATTTATAATACTACTATGGTTTGTAAGCATATCTCTTTGTTTTTTTTTTTTTTTTTTCCTGTTCTCTCTTTAACTCTATTCTACGATAGTGTTCACCATCTATATACCAAAAAAGTATGAATTGTTTTTTTTATTAGCAAGACATATGCTCAGTTTATTTCTACCATAGTTTATATACTATAACAATTGCTTCTAAGAGTCAAACTGTCAATTTTTTCATGGCTCACCGTACATGTCTAACAAGACAGATGTTGCATTAGTCTTTCTATAATTACAAGTACAAGGAAACACTAAAAAAAACGTGAAAAGTGCCCATATGATCTTCAGAGATAGAAAATATAGTATTTACATCTTTCTATTACTTTAAATCTACGCTAAATGTGTAATTGACTATAGATCTATTTATTACTATTTATATTCGGAAATATCTTAAAATGAATATTATATCAGATATATAATTATAAGACCTAAAAAAAAGTATTTCTATATCTCTTCGTATAGTTGAATTAGTTTAGTTCATTTGTATTTACCAATTAACTTGTAATCTTTACTTTTAGAACCTTTAGTGTTACAAAAAAAAAATCAAGCTTATGGCGCCAAGTGCACTTGGCGCCATATTAAAAAAATTTCCCTTTGGGGGGTTTAACGACAATTGCATTCTCTGCAATGCGTACGTCTAGTTTGTGTGCATTGTCTACATATATTCGAGGTGTATAATTCTAATTCATAAGTGGAGATTCCTACGTTTTCTTTTTTTTGGTAATGTCGGGATAAAAAATTTTATAGTAATAGTTTTACTCGAGACAAATAGAAATCAAGGCAAAGTATAGTGCGAAATGTCCAATTCCTGGTGTACTTTATTATTTTTATTAGCTATACTAGAGCTTTCTACTTATACATGTGGGAAGATCCAAATTAAGGTATATGGAAGTTTAGCATTAACAGCTTACTACTATACAGACATATTTATTGGACTACCAAGACCTCAGAGACAAAGCGTAATAGTAGATACTGGAAGTAATCTTTTAGCATTTGTTTGTACAGACTGTGAAAAGTGTGGTCACCACATTGATCCATATTATGATCCTCGTAAAAGTTTAACAAGTATGGTAGTTCCCTGCAAACCATACTGTAGATATTGTGTTGACAATGGTAATCAATGTGCATATGATATTACTTATATGGAGGGCAGTCACTTGTCTGGACGCTATTTCGAAGATTTTGTGTCTGTTAGAAATGAAAATCATGGGAATTCAGTATCTATACCATATGCTATTGGTTTAAGTACAGTATTTGGAGGTATTACAAGAGAAACTAGCTTATTTTACTCTCAAGCAGCGTCTGGTATACTTGGTTTAGCATACTCGAAAATAACAAAAGGAAGAGATCCATTTTTTCAATCTTGGTCAAGAAGGTCAAAATGGATTGGAAACCCAATTTTATCAATGTGTTTTAGTACTGAAGGTGGAATGTTAGCTTTTGGGGGCTATAACTCGGAATATTGGTTAGATGACAATAAATCCCATCGGACTCTTAACCAATCATTTAATAGTGAAGGATTTACATCGTATTTTATTCTAGATTATATTAAAAGATTTCTTAGCTATGCTCCTTATACAAATTATATAGATAAAAACTCTAAATCTTCAGATATAAATGGAGATTTAAATAGTAAAATCAATTGGACTCCGATGACAATAATTAATGGAAATTATTATGTTGAGTTACATGGTATATCTATACTTAATACTCCAATTAACTTTCCAAAAGATGATTTAGGTGGCAATAAGACTCTTAATATAATAGTAGATAGTGGAACAACGTTGACTTATTTCCCAGTTCCAATATTTAATCAGATAATAAAAGGAATAAATGATAATATAGCTGCATCTGGAAAATCTCATTATTCACCTTGGAGAAAGTTGGTTGAAACTGGATCAAGCTTGCTACAATTTGCTGGTTTAATTAATGAAAATAAATATGTACTAGATCAAGACCTTTCTATAAAATCAATAACAATTTTCCCTGGAGAAGTTCCTGGAGCTGCATTATTAAGAAAGAGAGTCTTTGTAAGAAATTTAAGTATTCTTCAAAATCTTGTAGATCTAGGCTCTTTAAAAGATGAAGAGATAAACAAAGATAGACCGAAGAACTTGAGAGATAAAAATACTACAGTTTTCGAATCAGTTGTAAATCATGAAGAAGATATTGATGAACGTGGCAAGGTTAAGATTGAAGATGGAACTAATTTATATTCTAAGATTGGAAATAGCTTTGAAAAAAAGTCCAATTCGGAAAGTTCTACAATTAGAAATAATACAAATGAAACTTCTAATTTTAATAGTTCAAATACTATAGAACCTTTAGTTTCAAGAATAATGCTAGAAACAACTCGTGGTGAGAAATGCTGGAGACTAGATAATATTGAGGAGATGCATAGATTTCCAACTTTGACTTTGCACTTTTCTCGTAATGTCAATGTTAAGTGGGAACCTCAACAATACCTTTACCAGAAGTATCGTAATACTTATTGTCTTGGTTTTGATTCAGATAGAGTAGGTAATATATTTTTAGGATCATCTTTTTTCTTAGATAAGGATGTGATTTTAGATATAGAAAATTCCAGAGCAGCCTTTGTGCAAGCTAAATGTCCTAGAATAGCCGATGCAAGAAGAACAAGTACAGCTGAAATGGCTCAATTACTAAATGGAACTTTAAAGTCACCATTAGAAGCTATCAGACACTCGGAAGTTGTTGTATTTGACTCTAAAGATAAATATTCAACAAGATCTCAGTATCCAAATGGTACTCTCAAGTCTACAAGTAACTCAGGAAAATCACTAATGAATACAGGTTCTGCAAGATCACATGGATTTAGACAAGGAATTAGTGAATTAAATGTAAATGATTATGTATTAGAGAATTCCAATAATACTAATGGACACATACCAGAAAATTCTGACAAAAAAGGCTCTTTAAATAATACTTTGGATGATGAGGACAAACTATCTGAAATTCCAATTCTTTTATTTACCAATAGTAGTAGTTTAAATATTAATGAGTACCTTATAAGTAACACTAAAGCTAGCTCAACTTCTAAAACAAGTGGTTGTAAAGCTAGTGCCCCTTTATTATCAACTTGGTCTTTACTTGGTTATTTTTTATTACTTTATTGGCATTTATCAGTTAATAAATATGAATAAATTGCAAATTTATTTTAATAGTTTAAATTTTATTCGAGAATATAAGATTTTAACCTCTAATTTTATTCAAAAGTAAATTAAATATTGTCAACTATTCAAAAACCCAATAGTACATTCTGAAATAAAGTATACAATTATTATCTCAAAATATATCTAAGTACTATTAATATGGAAATAATTTGACTTCAATAATAAATTACTTACAGATGTTTTTTTTTTAAGTCAAAAATTTTTATGGCTACCACTTAACAATTTAGAATTATACTAGATTAATTCGTAGATAAACATCTTCAATGCATAATGTATTATCAAATATTTGATACCCAAAATCATTTTTTACCAAGACTTAAATATTGAACAATTTAATTTTATAATGGATCTATTAAATTTGGTTTTAAAAATAGCACCTAAAAAGGATAATAGTATATGATACTTTCATTATTGGATTCTACTAAATTGAATATTTAACTCATTGAATAAATATATGTCAATTTCTTCAGTTTAAACAGAAAGTAGATCAATTAATATCAAGGTTTAAGTAGATTTTTATCTTCAATATTTATATTATCACTAGAAATGATACGAGAAAATTCAGCATTTCTAATGTTATTTATTTAAGAATTTGTATATTTATATTCTTTGTAGATCTTGTATATTTTTGTTTAGATTTTGTAAAAATGTCAGTGGAATAATTATGATTACTTAAATATAACCAGAAGGGAGAGTAAAACAACTCATTATACTTCAAAGTAGTAAGGAATAACACTACAGAAACCAGATAAAAATTTAAATTCTCTACTTGAGAGGATATTATATTTTAATTATTTGTAAGTGTAAATTTTAGTTTTTTCTAGATACAACTGTTTAATCATTTGGAAATGAACAATACTTCTAAGAAAGTACTTTTTGCACCTTTATACATATTTGTTATATATGTTCCAATGTTTCACATTATTCATTAGATATCTCTAAATAAATCCAATATTATGAATAAAGTACATAATAAATTGTGGACTAAAAGTATAAATATCTATAGTAAGTATTTTAGATTCTAGAGTACAAAATAAAAAACTTGTACAAATTGATCAGTATTTAATATATTATTATTTATGAAGTATATAGTATTAAGACAAAATCAATGAAGTACTTAGTAAATACGATTATTTAAAGAAAAAAAAAAAAGATTTAAATAAAAATATTGTAAAAATGAAGTTTATAAGTCACCTATGATCCAAAATGAAAAAAAAAAGTTTATTCACCACTTAAATTTAATTCAGTCTTCATTGAAATCTTCAACTTCTTCTGATGGAACTGTATCGTCTCCTTTATTTTTCTCTTCTTTAAGTCTCTTTTTTCTCTCAGCTCTTTTAATTGCTATGAAATCCATAATAACAGATAATGTACAGTATGCAATGCTTGCAAGTAAGAGAATTAAGATAATCCATGTAAAAATAATTTGACTTGGATATAAATAAACACCAGCTCCACCTATTCCATAATATACTTGATCTTGACAATATTGCCCTGTATATCCTCTGCTACATGTACAAAGAACTGGTTCGCTTGGACTAATAAAAGTACATTTTCCTCCATTCTGACAAGGATTATTTGTAATACAGATATTATTGGCAATATTACAGTTAAGGCCAGTATATCCAGATAAACACTTGCATGAATAATAGGGATATTCCATTGTACTTGTGCAAATGCCCCCATTAAGGCATAGATTAGTTGGTCCTGCACTTAAGCAAGCATCCCATTCTAAACAGTAGATATAGTAATAATGGAATAATTACGTGAATATTGGAAACTTACTAGTATCACATTTAGGGCCCGTGTACCCATCTATGCATATACATATATATTGTCTCTGGTCTTCAAGTACTCCTACCTCAAAACACTTGCCATTTTGACCACAATTAACTTGCTGGTCCCCAGAACATATTGATTCAAAAGGTATTTGTGATAATTCACCTGTTGTACTTGAATTTGGAACTTGGGTAGAATTTGTATCTACAGCCTGCACATTAGTAGCTACTACAGTCAGAAATACTGAATTAGCAATATAAACTGTGCATATTAATATTACAAGTATATTTACATCACTACATCTTGAGAATGTGCAAAGCATTATATTATATACGATAAGTTTTAAAGTAGTTTCCAACTATACCGGTATAAAGGTACCGAGTTTCTAAAGTACATGTACCGCCTACTATATTTTTAAAAAGCTATCTTACATGCAAGTCTGAAAAGATTTCTTAGGACCTTATATAGTATGTATACTATATTAAGTATAGAGTTCCTAACTAAACCAAAGCATTACTTTCATGAGACACGGATGAGAACTCCTTTTCTTCCAAATGTTCAGTATTCAGAATCCCGGGTTTTGTTTCACATTGATTTGTTGGTTTGGGAGTATGAATATTACCTTTCCAACTAGAATATATTTTTTCTATATCCTGAGGTTGAAAGACAGTACATTTGGCAACATAGGACCATAGTGCAGAATGTACTTTTTGTCTAGTAGCTTCATTTTTAGAAAGCTTTAAAATTTCATTAATTTCATCCCCAATAGTTGGAAGCAGAACTTTTAGACGAGAAACAACATCAGCATCAGCCATATTATTGCTAGAATGAAAAAGTTTTTTCATATCTGCTAATTGATGTTTAACATTGCTATGGTTAAAACAAGCTCTTGCATATCTTTTTACGTCTTTATCTGGAATATGAGAGCAAATCAACAACCACTTCAGGTAGTCCTTTTCTACCTCCAACTGTTAGGGGTCTCGGTGTGCTATTGGAACAGGTATAATCTTCTTCATCTACTATTACATCAAGTTTCTTTTGGTTCTTTCTACGTTTAGAACTAGGAACTTCGCACTTTATAGATTCACCATCCTGTTCGTTAGATGTACCTGTATACATTCTTCTCTTCTTCCTAGCAGTTTTACCAATAGATACCACTGAGTATAGATGCTTCATAATCCTCAGAGTTCTTTGTTTTAACTTGTCAAACTTAACTTGCTGAATAGATGACAGGCACAAATTCTGGTCCAAAGACATCATTGTCCAATTTGCAAATCCATAAACATAGATTCCCTTGAGGATATTAATATCAATATCAACTGACCACGGTATACCCCATGTTGGAGTGCGAAGGGCTTTTATAAGAATAGGAGGTAGTTCCAATTGTAGATATTTCTCTTCGGGATTTGAGTTGGCTACAGTAGAAGGTGAGTCATAAATGGTTGAAGTATTGGAGAATTTCTGACTCAAAACTATATTCTGATTGTTAACAATATTGTTCGTTGCCAAATTTGGTTTCTTCCCCGTACTTTTGAACTGTGGATCTTCCTCTTCATCTTCATCTTCATCTTCTTCTTCTTCTTCTTCATCCCTTTTAATATCATCTCTATTTGGTCTAGGTAGGGGACCTGTAGATAGCTTCCAAGGCTGATTTATTCCAGGATTACATTCTCTCATAAGTTTATCTAAAGCTGTTAACATTCTCAAACGATCAATTAATTCAGGAGCATTAGCTCTGTTATTTCCTAAAAGTAGTGAATTTTTCTTAAGAGTCTTATTGCCTACTATTGATAATTGTCCTTGAGTCTCTATATCTTCTGTTACCTCTTCTGTATCCAAGATATCTATATTATCAATGTTTATATTATTTTTATTAATATCATGTTCAGATATTACCTTGTTTTCACTTGGTATTGATATATCAATGTCCTTCATTATTAAATCCTGATTATTGATGAAGTTTGTAGTCCCAATATTTCCAGTTGGCATATTTTGATGTACATCACCCTCAAAATTAAAATCTGAAATAGATTTATCTTGTATTTCAGCTGGCTCATTAGTATTGCAAGTTTGTGTGTCTGAAATTTCAACTTCTCCAAGCTTGTTACTTGTTCCGCACTTATTATCATTCATGTCATCAATAGATTGGTTCTTTATTTTCTCAAAGCAAAGTGCAATGATTATTTGAGCTTCATTAAGAATAATACCATGATCTATCCTACCTTTGAAACGTGTCTCAAGCATTATATCATCTAAACGTCTATAAGGATCTCCATACTTTAAAAGAGCTCTAAAAAGTTTAAAACGTCTTTTTGGATGGAGAACACGAGAATCTCTCCTCATTCTCTTACCACTTCTCACATAATGTTGATTAAATGAAACTTCCCTATAAGCTTTATTCGAATCAAATGGATATCCCTCATCTTCTTCACAATAAACATGAGAGTAATTTGTAATCTCCGCCATTAGTTGTGCAAAGTCATCTCTACTTTCTAATGAGTGTATAGGCATTGGGTATTCAATCTTATGAAACCCTTGAGAGTCTCCATTTGCCTCATTCCCATTTAAGTCCGTTATTGCAGAATCAAGTTCACTAACCTGGTTTGTATCTGTAAAATGTTTATTATATGGTCCTAGTGGACTCATTTCAAGTGATCCACTCTTAGATTTACTACTACCCTTTTTATTTTTCAAACTCTTCTCCTTTGAACGTTTCTTTGTTTGCTTTTTACGATTTCCTCCGCTCTCTTCTATATCATCTAAATCCCCATTGAAATCTGTCAGAGACTTTGTATCTAATTCTGTGAACTCCCCATTTCCAACTAAAGTATAACTATCACCTTTATATCTTAAGGATCCATCACGCATAGCACTCTTTCTAGGCCCAGTGACTATCATACTCTTTCGATTCTCCTCTTCAATCTTTTTTCTCTCTTCTTCAGGAATAGTTTTTTCCCAAAACTCCTTACTATCGAAGTCTATCTGATTGTCATCATTAGTCTCCGTAGCTTGTTTTAATATACCAGTATTTTTATCTATGATAAGTGGTGGAGCTTCATATCTAAAGTCAGCTATGTTGGCAAAGGATCGTAACAAACCATCTGCTAATCCTTGTGTGTCATGTACATGTTCCTCTGCATCTGCCAAGACTTTATCTAGATCTATTTGTGAAGCAAAAGCTCGATCTTCATCATTTTGAACATTTGCCACCCTATATTCTGCATTATCACCTTTTTCTTCCGAAAAATGTTGGTTACCTCCTTCGTTTGCATTATTTACTTTATTACTCCACAATTTCTGAGCTCCAAATTTCAAAATTTTAGCTAACTCATCTCTACTAAATGAGGCTCCACTACCACTCTTCTTTCCATTAGGATATAAGAGTTGAGAAGCTATATTTGCAGCTGCTATAGATGTACTATGACTTTGATGTTTATTATGTGAACCCGTACTAGTGTTATTCAATCCCTGTACTACCAAAGTATCCAGAACCATTTTAGTTTTAGCCCTCTCTAAAATGTTCTCTTCAATAGAATCCTTTGTTACAAGTCTATAAATTTGTACTTGTTTAGTTTGTCCTATACGATGAGCTCTAGCTTCAGCTTGTAAGTCATTTTGAGGATTCCAATCAGAATCATAAATAATTACTGTGTCCGCAGTTGTCAAATTAATTCCCAAGCCCCCAGCCTTTGTAGATAACAAGAAGCAAAAATCATCACTATTAGGAGAGTTGAAGTGATCCATTGCCTTCTTTCTTAGCTCTTTACCCATTGTTCCATCCAATCTCTGGTGTCTGAAACCTCGAAGAATGAGAAACTCTGATATTATGTTAAGCATCCTGACCATTTGAGAAAATATCAAAACTCGATTTCCTTTCTCTTTAAGTCTAGACAAAAGCTTATCTAGCAAACATAGCTTGCCGCAACCATATATTAACTGGTGTTGAATTGTAGCAGGAGTTATTCCTTGACTTGAATCAACTTCAGGTCTATGAATTAAAAATGGATGATTACATACCTTTTTAAGCTCCATACAAATGTTCTGCAAAGATGTCTTTGTACCTCCCGTTGTTTTACTTAGTTCCTCATAATTTCGAGTTAGAATTGATTTATATAGTACTGTTTGTTGTGGAGAAAGTTCAATCCGCAAAATCCTTTCTACTTTGTTGGGTAAACTCTTTTCTACATCCTTTTTTACACGTCTTAAAACGTATTCTTGAAGTTCATTCTGCAAATTCTCTAGTTGTTGCTGTTTACTACTACCAATAACGTTAGGATTCTCTATATCTGGATATCTCTCACGAAATTCTTGATAGTAAATAAACTTCTGGGGATTTAAAAAGTGTAATAAGCTCCATAATTCCTCTAAATTATTATGTAATGGTGTACCACTTAGAAGTAAACGATACATTGTTGAAAATTCATGAAGCTCCTTAAAACGCTTGCTATCTCTATTTTTTAATTGATGAGCTTCATCTACTATCATCATATACCAATCAATCTGTCTCAAAAAGTCACAATCAACTGGACTATTTAGAATAGATGGGGTAGTTATAACAACATCGAAGCGATATCGAGAAAGATGTTTATGGCTTGATTTCTGTTTCCCTTGTTTTCCCTTAATCTTTTTATTAGAATATGGAACAAATTCATCATTATCAGAGCTCAAAACACTCTCTTTATCATCTATCTTCTCTATATCAACCTTACGTAATTCATATTCCCTAATTATTTCACGAGCCTGGGCATTCCCATGGTATAACACAACATTTGCATCAGGTAACCAGTGTTTAAATTCTCTAATCCAATTATCGCTTGTACTTTGAGGTACAACAACTAAAAAAGGAGCTACTATCTTCTCCATATATAAACAATGCCCAATAACTGATATAGTCTGTACAGTTTTTCCAAGTCCCATTTCATCTGCTAATAAGATATTCACATTCTTTTTGAAACGTGATATCATCCAGTTTAACCCATATATCTGATAATCCCTAAGATCTTTACGCTGATTAATATAATTACTAGATAAAGAATCAGAAGAATCTTCATCTTTGTTTTCCACAACTTCACTAGATTGGCTCTCTTTATTTTCCTCAGATACTATAAGCTCTTTTTTTACACTTTCTGTCCCCTGAAATATATATGTTCCATTTAAATTCCCCGTAATTTCGGATACTTCACGTTCTTTTATTTCGTCCATATATCTCGGATTTTCCTTCTTCTGGATATCTACAGACTCCAATATATCCTCATGTTTCTTAGTTAATTCCTTCATCCCCTCAACTATAGTGCCCATATAAAATGGTGTAGAAAGGTAGGGTTCGAAAGATGTAAGTCCCAGCCTTCTTAATGTATAGTCACAGTCTTTATTGTACTGAGTCACTAAATCCATCCTTCTATGAAAAGCTTTGATATATGATAAAAAGTTGTTATCTTCCAATGTCTTGTATGACTCCCAAGTACATTGATCATAAGAACAACTAAGCCACTTTACAAAGTAGAATTTATCATATCTAGTTTCTAATCTTTTCTTCTCTTCAGTAGCTTTATTAACAAATTCATCTTCAATATAATCAGTATGTTCATCAACTATTCTCTCAGGAATTAAAGCATCTAAATCTAGTTGTTTTTGAATCTCAAAAGTAATATCCTCTTGTTCAATTTCATCTTCTGTCATATATTTCCGACGATTTTCAGTTTCAGTAACTTTTCGTTGGTAATTTTCTAATCGTCTCATTCCTCCTGTATTTTCACTTAACAAAGATTCTGGAGTTTCCCAAGTATTATGTAAATGTGAGTATCCAGACCACTTGACTTGGTATTCAACTGCTTTAGATTCAGGGTTAATACGATGGGATAATATACGATCAATATTACGACTATACACTGGAACCTGCAAAAATTCTTCATTTCTATCTAGTAGTATACTATCAATATCTTTTAGGTTATCGGATATCATTGAAGATGCGGAAGAATCAGAAGAATCAGCATAACTTGCATAATTTACACTTCTCCTTTCTCTACCTGATGTTCTTCTAGGAACATTTTTAGAGATCTTCTTGTCTGATATATTGTCTTTTCTATTTTTTCGCCTATTTGAATCACGTTCATTATAGGTATCATCGTCATCTTCATACTTTTCCAAACTCAAACTCGACTTTTCATTATCATTATCACCATCATCTAATTCATTAAAATCTTCATAATCATTATCAATATTATGGCGTGAAAGATTCGTTATTTGTCTTCTATTATTCATTCTAGGCTCTCTTCTAGAAGAATATGAGTCCAAGCTGGTTTCTTCTGAAGAAGTATCCTCTTCATCTATATTTGAAAAATTGGAATACTTCATTCTTGTTACTCGCCCACTTCTTGAACGATATACTGGTCCAGTTTCCTTTGGTTTGGATTCATCCCTACTGATTGTCGTCAATTTCACATCTTTTGTAGACTTACTATTTCCAATACTGTCAGTTGAAGAATCAGAAAATTCTACGTCCAAATCCATTTACCTCAAAATAATTTATATATAGAGTAGTTCATTCAGACGTAACTAGAATGTATTAGCTACTAATAGTGCCTAGACGAGTGTCTTTCTTGCTAATAGCAAAATCATAGGCGCTGCTGTATGAAATTTGCAAGAAAGTGATATTGCGGTATTTCCTACTTGAATTTTATGATTTATAATCTTTCTATAATAATATTCATATAACCAAATATATATAACTTTCAAGATACTTATAATATACAAATAAAAGATTATAAAATTTTAAGTCAAGTGTAATTTTTCAGTATTTGAAATCTTATCTAAGTCCACACCTAGAGTTCAACTTAGTTATTATAAGATGGGGCAAATATATCTAACAAATAGATATCTATAAAAATAATGTGTATAGAGTCCCATCATTTTGGGCTATATAAATTTGCAAATAAAAAAAAAATATTTGAATCCTCAATACAGTAGCAAGTATTCTGTGCAGCGTTTAAAAGTGCATATACGCGCCTTTTATTATAAGCTTAGTTTCTTCATTATCTTAGAAAATAGGTTAAAATGCCAGGTTTCCACGGAAACGGATGTAATTGCCAACATGAAGCAAATTTAATAAATGGTGAAGATTTGTTAACTTACATAGATAAAGATTCTGTACGTACTCTAAATGAGACTATCCTAGGATCCTGTAAAACTCTATTCCGTCCATATTCGGATCGCCTACTAGAAACATCCTTGTGTAAATCTCAAGAGAACGATCCTGAACTCTTAGTATTCATCCCGTTCAAGTCTCCATGTTCTATATATTCTCTAAACATAATTGGAGGAGAAAATGGAACCTCTCCAAATCATATTAGATTGTATATAAACGATGAAAGTTTGGATTTTTCAACTATTGAAAATATGGAGCCAATCCAAAGTTTTGACTTAGTAGAAGACTTTTGTGGTGTAGTTGAATATCCCCTAAAAGTATCTAAATTTAAAAATGTGAACCTGCTAATTCTACATTTTCCTTCTAGTTTTAGCTCAAACCAAACTAACATATACTATATTAGGATATGTGGTCAAGGTACATCTTATCAAAGAAAGGCAGTAGAAGCTGTATATGAGTCTACACCCAATATTTCGGATCATATGACCAATAATGAAACCTTACAATCTTTTGATTTATAATACAATCTAAGATCATACTTTTATTCAATACTACAATATTAGATGTATATAACCTTAGCAAATTACTACTTCTAATAATTTTGGGATTTTTATTACAATATTTTAGTCAGGTCTACATATTCTCCTAAAAAACTGCACTTACAGTATTTATATATTAGCACGATACTCGTGTTTCATTAGCGCTATTTACGTATTAGTGTCTACTACTTTAGCTATAAATAAAGTAATTGTAATGCATGTATATAAATTTAAAGACATTTGATATGAAGTATAGTTTTGGAATATTGGCTTTAATAATTGCAATATGCATATATACACCTATAATAGCTACATCACCTATTGAGAATGCTACTAGAGTACTTAAAACTGAAGAACCTTCAATGAGTTCGTTATCAAAAATTGAGGAAAAGATGAATGAATATATTTTAAGTAGTAATATAAGTGAATTTAAAGATAACTATTTAACTTATATAGATCAAAATATGACTCTGAGTGAAGCTTTTAATATAGTATATGAAGTAGTCGAAAATTGCCAAATAATAAGTGAATCTCATTTTCTTTTTTATAAGAGGCATGGAAATGGTTACTATATAAATGATATGTGGGAAGTTTTAGATTGTTTTGAAGGAAATATGAAGATTTCAATGAAATTAATAAAACAATTACGACAGCATTGCAACTTCCACATTGGAAACACTAAGCTTGGAATTGTCCCTAAGACTATTGGAGAATATGTTATAAAATCATGTAATGAATTAAATTATGTAGAGAATAAAATAGCTAGATTGGTTGATTACTCATATTTAATGCGATTAATCAAGCATAAAGCAAGAGAACATAATGATGGACTTGTTAAACTTGCAGAATTAGTATACAAAAATTTGAGATTAAGTGAATGCAAATCACCTGCATATAAAAAAAAAAGCTATGTATGTGGTAGTAATAAATCACTACCAAACTCAATTATATCAAGATATAGACAAGAAAGAAGACTAGTTGAAATATTAATAAATAATCTAAAATCTATCGATGACACCTTGCCGATAAGACTTAGAAATATCCCTAAATGTATTCATTTGACAGACTTTGAATATAAGACTATTATGAACCAAGCAGCTATACTAGCTGATAACATATGGTACCCAATGGGAATTAAAATTAGAAAACATATTAATAATTTAAACAAATGTTATAATAAAAGAAGATTTATTTACTCACTCAAGAGTGCTAAACATATGAAGGAAAATAGAAAAGTTCTTTTCACTTTACAAGTACAAAATATCTTAAGACAATTGAATATTAATACGTAAATAAATAATAGCTTTATAGTAGAATCCAATTCTTTGTATATATGAGTTGTAAATTTAAAAAAACCCAGAAATAATCTGTAAATAAAAAATACTCAAGTATTTAGATCATTTCCACAATGATATCTAATTATTTGAATCCTGTCAAATTATCATCTAATTTTTTAACAGCATTAATATATTTTATCAACTGAGATCCATTTACTTTCATCCTCTTTACACGTTCAGCTATAAATATACTGTTTGCAATTATATGCTTCTGATCTTTTAATCTTGCAAAACCATTTGATTTATCTAATGAAACCCATTCAAATAACAAATCTTCAGCATCAATAGTTATTTCTTTAGATATAGTTCTAGATTTGCGAAGAAGTCTAGTAACTACATATGATATTGCATCTGCTATTGATTGGATACGGCATACTTCCAATGCAATGAGTTCAAACTTCTCACTAGAATTTTCTTTATAATCAGAATCTGAATTTAAACAATTTAAAATAATCCTTCTTATCTGTTCAGTATATACTCTTGTTTTACCAATTAAATCATAAATAGAAGTCACAGTTCTACCAATTTTAGTGAAGGCTTTCTGAGGTTTCCATAATATTGTACTCAATTGTAGTATAAAAGCTAAGTTAGATTCTAAACGATGTCTTTCAATATCCAACTTATTCCTTAACTCATCCTGAATCTCCAATTTATTATTCATATTTTCTAAAGAAGTACAATTCATAGGAGGTAATAATTTGGATTTTAAAAACAAAATTCCAGAGGGATATATAACCTCATTCTTATGTTTGCCTCTTTGCTTTCTATTTTTATTATTTGATACTTCTTGTTTGTTATAAGTAATATTAATTAAATTATTTATTGTTGAATTCTCTATATCGTCAATAAAAGATATATCATTGTCGACTCTATCTATAGTTAACTCTATATCTGTTGAATTAGTATCTGGCAATGTAAAATCTTGTATAATAGTATGAAATACAGTTTCTTTATCAGTTATAAGATGAGGTAAAGCTTTTTGGCACCACCAAATACCTAGTTGTTGTAGAGTATCTTGATTATCAATACTTTTCTTATGTTCATCTACAAATACCTTAAAATTATTCGAGTCATCTTTTTTTAACTTATTTAACTTTAATCCTCCAATATAATCCATTTTTGTATTTATTTGTAAATTTATCTCTCTTTCACAAATAGACCAATCACATCCATAGAATGTCACTGGATTTTTTGGAGAAGGGATGTATCGTGCTGGCCAACTTGGAAGTAGTCCCTTGTATTTATTTACCCAGCCTCCAAGTTTCTTAGATGCTTCATCACCACATGCAGATATAATTATTGACATAAAGTCCAAATGTTTACTTAATTCTTCAAGTTCATAGTGACTAGGTGAAAATATATTATCAATATCTTGTATCTTAAGATCCATATCATCTGTAGTACTTTCAATTCTACCAATTAAGCTACAACATAACCAATAAGTAGATACATATACTAGTATTTTTTTCCCCCAAGCCCAAGCCATCTACTATTAAAGACTAGTAATGAAATATTAACCAATTTTAGAATAGAAATTATACCGATAATAAATAATACTCTCCTTAGCGCTAAAAAAGGGAATCCGACCACCAGTGTGATTTTTTTTTTTTTTGAAAAGGACGATATGTGAAAGTTATGAGTCAATATCTTAATTACGAGAAAATAGAACACTGAGAATAAGAAATTGAAATGAGAAAACAAAGTAGCGTTTTACAAATTCCACGGAATTCTAGGGCAGAAATAGGTACAGGGGGACTATTTTCTTCTGGGTCTATGAGTAAATATAATTCAAGATATTTTAATATGCAAGGATCTAAGATAGATAACACCAGTATATGGCAAGATATACTTCAAGAATGTATCAGAAATTCTTCAAATAAGCGTAATGATGTGCTGCATGGATCAGTATTTGTATTTGGCCGTACTGGTTCCGGTAAACAAACATTAATTAATGAACTAAAAGATTTAAGTGACATTAAAAGTGAACTAAACAACAATAAAAAAGACTCTAAACCTTATATAGGGTTAAGTTATGAATGTTTAAAAATTTCAAGGCAGTTAATTGAGGATGAGTTAATAAAATATGATATTTCTGAAGATTCATCTGATATATCCAATATTACTGAATTTCATCACATTAGTATTGATATATGGAGTATTGACCATATAGATTTGTTATATGAGATAGTAAAAAGATTGGTAAATATTATGAATAAGTCCTCTACAAATTCTGACATAAAAAAGATACAAGGAGAGGTAGTAAACACAGAAGGAACTTTAACAAATGAGGATGTATTGAACAATATGTTAAATCCTTCAATTCCAAATTTGATGTTTTTAGTAGTTTTAGATACTTCAGTTCCTTGGACCTTAACTGATGATTTAACAACTTGGTTGCATACAATTCAAGATATATGGTCAAAGACAATGGAACTCTCAAATTCATCACCATATATTCAGAACCAAATGATTAATTCAGTTAGGAATTATCTTAGTTTTCAAGAAAAAGATCTGTTATCTAAAAATAAAACGAGTGATACATCAGATAGTGAAAATAGAATAGAGTCTAATAAAGAGAATGATAAGTTGAATTACAGTACAACTCCCGAAATAAATTTGGGTATTCCAATTTGTCTCATACTCTCTAAATCTGATATTGGACAAAGATTTACAGTTCCCCCTAAAGTTATAAATGGAGCACCTTTTATACCATTTTCTTTAGCTTATTTAATGAATATGGGAAACCCATATGGTTTAAGTTATTTTTGTACATATATCCAAGAAAATGGAAATATTCGTGAGACACAAGGAATAGATTTGTTATTTAAATATATTTTGCATCGTTTATTTGATTTTCCTTTACTAAATAAAGATGGTTCTAATATTAAAACAATTAAGAATATTGAATATAATGCAAATACAATTTCTTGTGTATTTCCTTTATCTTCAATTGAATTATTACCTTTAAAACCACTACCAGATGTGGCTAATACAACATTTGAATCTTCAGTTTTAAAATCTGACTTTATTAATTCGAATTTAAATGATGATTCAGAACTTACTAGAGGTCTCACAACAGCATTCAATAAATCCCTTCCATCACTAAGTGAGTTTTTAGAAAAAATAAGTAACCAGATTCCTCAGGTTGATCCCTTAAGTGCCACAGCAACAAATGGAATACCACCTTCAATGTCAACAAATTCTACTGCTACCGAAGAATCTACATCTAGATCGACAGTTCTTGAACAATCTAATGAAAAACCAATATTACCATCTACATCAAATATAGGCCAAAGACTAAAACCAAATAAACTTAGTCATGGTACAAATAATTCTACTATATCTAGTGATCCATCTCTTAGGGGATTTTTTCAAAACCTTATTCAGAGAGGTGATAAAAGAACTCCATCAATTCACAAAACATCTCATAGAGGAAGTTCCTCATATGCAAATTTACAGAAAGAATCGGCAAGTCCTTTAGAAGAAAATGACAACTCAAAAGAATCTATTACACAACGGGAACCTGTTGAATCACAACCTAATTCTACAGATCAAAAAGATTCCTAATTATTTCTTTAAAGACAAAATAACTTAATATTTTAGAATATTGTTCATTACATTCATTGTATATGTATGCTTTTAGATTTTCTATTGTTAGAATATAACTAGTGTGAGCTATTTATATACTCAATAATATTTCTAATTTTTAAACTTTATAACCTGGATTTATAAGGGGTTTATAATATTCCTTCTTATTATTACTTTGCAAAATCAATGAAGTATAAATTAAATTATATTATATAAAGTTATTAATAACATAAAATAAATATCTAGTCCCAAGAGTTCATATTCTGTGATGAGTCATGACTAAAATCCCAACTATTATCTATTGTACTATCTTGAGTACCTTTCATATTAATATCATCATATTCAATATAATCTTCTAGATTATTATTAATTGTTTCATTATTAGCTGAATCTTCATCTGAACTTTCTCTAAATATTACATCACTAATATCACTTTTAATTTCCTCTATTTCATAAGTTGATTTACCTTTTTTGTGAGGTGTATCTTTCTTAAATCTTGTAATCATACTGCGTAAATCATCATTCTTTCCAATAATACCCATACAAGTCGCTACTTTATTCTCATTAAATATTGATGGAATAGGGAATGGTGAATTCTTGTTTGTATTCCTAAAAAAATCCAATTGCTGCTCCATTTCTGATACAGTAGTCAACTCAATTGTAACCATATCCTGATTTGGCATAGCAACACGATCTAGTAATTCCTGCTCAGCTTCAATTACTTCATTGATGTCAAATAATTCTGTATTTCTATACTTTCTTGATCTAATATTACTACTTCCTGGTAATAACCCTGCTGGCCATTCCCAACACAAATTATCACGTAAATAAGTAATAAATCCACTACACAAGGGATCAGAGTACACTTTATTTGAAGTCATACATCTATCAATTTCACTTATATTCACATTCAATCTATTCTTGTACCATTTAGGTAAATTAGTAGGATCATATATATATATCATCTGATTAATATTATTAGCTTTAAACATACTTTCGCAATCTAGACTCTTGTAAGCTTCAATATTACAAGGTAAATCTACTAGTATACCTAAAAAGTCCATATTCATTATCCTTACATCAAATATACGAAAATCCTCCAAAGGCGTAGGTTGTATAGCAAATACAAAATATTCCCCTTTATTTGTATTTTCATTTATATAGTTTGCTACATCTTCTGGGAATCGGATAATACATACTGACTCATGTAAAGATGATACTATTGAATTAGATAGGTCAGCTGATGAAAAAACACCACGACGTAAGTATCTTTGTGGAACATATTGATTTAATTTATCTGTCCTCTTTTGACTATGCATATTTCTAATTAAATTAACACATCACATGCAAACTTTTAAATAAAACTACCTAGAGTTCTATCATTTACCTATTTTCTTTATTCTATACTTGTAAATAATATGCGCTACACTCAAAAGTAAAACTCTGTCTATTTTTAATAAAACTATCATTTAATCTCAAGATCTTTTGTCTTATTATAAATTTGTTTTAATTACTTCAAGTTATCTTACTATATTATATTTAATAACTACTACTTTTTTATTTCAGCTTAGCTTAATAATGCATCATATTGTCTTTAAGCGTGATATGTCCTAAATAAATCGTAGTTATCTGAAAATTACTTTATTTTAGTTTATTCATATTTAACCCCATCTATTTATAGTATCTAAATAATTGAATCACAATACCTAGTAAATTATAGAATCAGTATACAAATTCCAGTGCAATTATTTTAATTCGAGTTATAAATATTCTAAATATTGTACCTATTTTAGTTATATCTCAAAAAATAACATCTTAAATTTAACCAAACAATATAGATCAAATTTCAGTGATATCATATTCTATATTATTTTATTAAAATATCTTTTCCTAATATACTTTCCCTCTGACGATACTATTAAGGTATCATAGGCGGTTATATATGGACAATATAAAAACTTATCATGGGGAAGTTTATTTTCTGGTTTATCAGTATTGGATGATATTTCATTAGGAAGATTTTTAAACTTTATCAATATATTTGTTGACTTTCTATATAGATAGGGTATATAATATACTATTGTTTGGAAGTACAATATTTGGTAATAGGAAGTACCTTGGGATTTGAAATTAGGGAAATAATGAATAAGGAAGTTCATCAATGTGCTCCTGTTACAGCATTTGTCAATAGGTGTGCCTGGCCTTTATTTATAGCAATTAGGACACTTTTGAAGACGGTACTTAGTCAGAAAGCACTTGCAAACCTTGTTATCGCATATGTTGTATTGTGGTATATAAATCCATCAGATTGTTTAGCTGAAAGAATATATGGTATTAAAGGTAATACTGAATATAATGGTAATTTTACTTATCAACTTGAAGAGAGCAATGTCCTTATTCCACATGTCGATGAATCTAATCAATCTGAATCTAAGAAAGATGATGAATTAGATGAAATACTTGTAAAATATCCTTTACTAGAAGATGATGAAATAGATAATATTAGTGAAAATATAGAAAAAGAAACAATAAATAATATAAAAGATATGAATTTGACAAACCAAGATGGGAAGAAGATATACTCTACCCCATTAACTCCACCATCTACTTCATCTTTTTCTTCTGTATCATCTTCCACAACAATTACAGACTCTATATTTAATTTAAACCCTACTTTTGAGAAACCATATCAAGATGCTTCACCTTCTAAATGTTATATTTTATCTACAAGTGGCGGAGGAGCTAGAGGATCATTTTCAGCAGGTTTAATTCATGGCTTAAGTTTATTATATCGATATCATAGTAGAAAATTGAGATGGGATGTATTTTCTGGTGTATCAATTGGTAGTTTGAATACTTATTGGAGTCAATTTTACATGCAAGGTCAAGAAGTTCATACTTCTACTGAATCAGCTTCTGTATGGGAAAATTTTTCATATAAAAATGTTCACAATTGTAAAGGTACAATATTTAAGAATATACCAAAGTGGTTATTTAGACTTATAAAGAATGGAACTCGTACGAAAGGTTATTTATGCTCTTCTTATCCAATGTTATTGTTTATGCGTCACTTAACCCAGAATAGACCTAGATATAAGGAAAGATACTGGAGTGCAGTAGCTTATAATTACAACTTAACATTGCCATATTTTTTTAATGAAGAGATACCAATTGGATTGTTACCCTCTATTATTCGTACAGGATCATCATACCCAGGTTTTTTTCCTCCAGCAGATTTACCTGGTTTAGGTATATTTGGTGATGGAGGTTTATCTAGACTTCTTGACATTAGAAATGCAATACATAGGTGTTTTCAAAGTGGAAGAGCGAAAACTGATAAAGATATTGTTATAGATATAGTTTCGACTTCTTATATTAGCCATGAACATTTTCCTTCAATGAGGATTCCAACTACAGTAAGTATGTTTGAAGGTATTGGATGGTATTTTAATAGATATTCTGGAGTTAGTACTTTTCAACAATATGAAATTGTACAAGCTTTGAGAAGATATCCAAATATTAAATTTCGTCACTTTTTGTCTCATCTTGATGCTCCTAATTCGATTATTCATAAAATTAATTTATTTGATTTTATACCAGATTTACTTAAAACTTCATTATGGGAGGGTATTTATTCTGGATTTTACAATGCAACTACTTTAAAGGATTTCTGGAGGAGTATAGAAATAGATAATACTCCCGAAGCGTCTTGGAGAATATATGGTGATGCTAGAATTAATCTTCCTAATTCTGCTAGTGAAGTCTCTAATCCAGATACTGATGCATATGTTGAATATCCATCTCTTAAAGAGATTGAATATAGTGTTCCCCCAACTGTAGAATTTATTAATCAATCAAATATACAAAGTTCAATGAATGAGATTACAGAGATGGAGAACATACAATTTAATGATGATAATTCTAATCATAATTATACTCAATTTAATGAAACAAAGTTTATTAATAATATAATTGAACTTCATAGAAACTTGTTAGTATTTAGATACATCGAAAATATTAGAGAATTTGTACGTGAACGTGATGAAGTAATAATGAGACGAAATGAAAATATGAATTTAAGTCATAATATTGGATTAAAAAAAGATTTTTCTGATGAAATCGAAAGTATCCCCTTTTTTAAGCCATCAAAACTTTATCTATATAATATAGAAACAGCTATGAATTATGCTAATACTGTTAGGAAATCTTTTCATTCGAGATTTTATTCTAAAGTAAAATTTCGGAAAGTAAAAAGAAACGAAGTTAGAATAAAAAAGATAAGTCTTGACATAGCTACAAAAATTTTCAACTATTATCATCAGAAAATACAATCACTATATAATGAATACAATATATTAATGGAACCCTTAAATAATATTTATCATACTCTCTTTGATTGGACAAAAAATTGTACAAACTCTAAGCAAAATAGAAGATCTTCAAGAGGAAGAGCATCGCAAATTCCACTTTTGTATCCTTTTATGGAAGGTAAAGATGGTTTTTCTTTAATTTGGGCTCCTTATAAGGAAAATCCTGAATTTAAGGAAATGATGACGCATTTAATAAAAGCTAGGTATCCTAATATAGTTTGGAAAAAACCCCCAGATATTCAACCTGAGCAAACTAGAAGACCTATATGGAATAAATATAAACTAAGTATGATTAGATATCTCAAAAATCGGGAACAGACACATTGTTGGGTAAGTCATCCTAAAAGTCAAGAATATTTTAATTTAATTGAGATAGAACTACCTAAAATTAGGGAAATTCAAAAGAAACATGAAATTCTAATAAATACTGTAACAAACTATCAAATATTAATTTGTAGAGTAGGAATGATGAGTAGATATTATACAGCTCAAGTAGAAAAAATTATTAGGAAGAATTTTATTTATGGAATAGATTTAGTTGAATCAATATTTCTGAAGACATCTAGTAATGATCTATTTCTACAAAATAATAACTTGGATATAGCAGGTCATACAGAAAAGAGTCAATTTGAAAGATTATATTGGACTATTAAACAAGAAACTGAAGATCCTTCAAATACTGTAAACTTTCTAGCTGACATTCAATTATCTAATATTCTCCCATCTACTTGAATAATATTGGTAATATTTGAATTTTTAACTATTTATAATGCTATTTTATTGTTCAAAGTAAGACCTTACAATGATGTGTTGTGTTTAAAGTACTGAAGATGTAGCCGTGTTTAATAATATTGAGAAATTTTGGATAATAGAATATATTCATATTCCATTAGATTTGTTTGTTTTAGTTGAAATTAATATTTTGTTTATCCTAAATTATAATTTAATCTCAATTATTTTAAAAAAATAACTGTATACCTAAAATTTAATACTTCAAGAAATGTACTTTATACTTTATTGTGATTCTTATTTTAATTTTAATTATATTAATATTAAATTGGATTTAATTTAATATAATACTATAAATTTAACATTAATTATTTATCAAAATACTAATAAAGTTTCCAGATAAATTAAAGTACAAATACATTAAAAAAAAAAGTTATTGCAATACTTAAAATTCTAATATTAAGTGATTAAATTATAATTTTTAGTCTGAATCTTCTAAACTATCCATATAGTAAATAGAAGGATTCATATTTTTAAAGATATGTTCTGTATAGCAACATTGAAACTCAATTTGTCCTTTAGCTTTAGGACACATTTTATTCCATAAAGTTATAATTCGATCTATATCTGTAGGCTTAGGAACCCATTTAGAACTTGTCCCAGTAATTCTGATATGTAAATTGGTTAAATTACTTTTATGGGTTTTAACCCATTGACACAAATTTATTAAATGATCTTTCTTAAGGTCCTTATCCTGTAAAAGAGTAACTTTAAGAGATTTTATCCGAAATAACGATAGCTTTAAAAAGTAGTCTAATGGAAGATAACAAGGAAGAATTGAAATATCTGTTAAATTTGTTTGATAATACCACATAATATTCAAAATATAACCTGAATAAAATAGGTTATCATATCCAAGTGATAATATTAATTTTGTAGGTGATACAATAAAAATTGTTTTAAGTGGATCCACTATATTGGGTATAAGTGACATAGGTATTACTAAATTAAAAATATCAGATATACTTTCACCCTGTATCTCTTTTAATTGATTATCAAGTGTAGGAATTTCAAATTTCCCTTGATTTATTAATTTTCTCTCATTCTCAAGTGGCCAGGAATCTTCTGAAATTGAGTCTATTATCCACATATTAATTCCTAAATAAGGTTGCATATTAATTGAAGATGAATATGATGAATCTAAATTAGAATCACATAAATTAATAGTTGGTCCATTATTATCATAAGTATTAATCATTTCATTAGAAAAATTAATAGTAGTCTTCTCAAAATTATTACATTTATCATTAATATATAGATCTTGTGTATTTCTTAAAAGAATATTTGATTCCTCTTCTATTGAAGAAAGTTTGTAACGTCTTATATTATAACTTTTTATATTTGATTGACCATCTTCAAAATATATACAGTAATCTATCATATTATTTTTAGCTTCATTAAATAAATACCTATACATAGATGAAAATATATCCAAAAATTCCAAAGAAATATATAGGGATTCTAAAACCAACTTCTTTAAACTTGGAAATTTTATATTTAGTTTTAAAATATCTAGATTACTTTGCAGTCTAGTACTATTATTACAATGTATAGCAAAACTTCTTTGTTTATCAGATAACCAATTACCTTTTATTTTAAACTCTAATAAATTGTCTATCTGAGGAAAATTTTCAAAAAATATCTGTAAATAAGAAATATCAGATATTTTTTTAGGTATTCTTAAATTAAATACTTGTACTTTTGGAGTTATTTTACTTTCAAAAACATTCAAAGAAGTTAATTCTATAGGTATACTTGGTTCATAATCTATAATCTATAAATATTATTATATACATTCATATATTCTAAATTAATATTATTATTTAAGTAGAGTAAATAAAAATAAATAACTCTACTTATAAATACTTACCTTCAATTTTGGTAAATGCTGAGTAATAATAGGATCACAACGTATACAACTTAATTCTTGTACTGAATTAAGAATAATTTTATTCATACTAGAACTTTTAAAGTTGTAAATTTCACAGTCTTGTAATTCTATTCTAGAAATATTTGGAAAGTATTCATAAATAATCCTTAATATAGATATCAAAGATATTGAATTATCTTTTATAGTTAGAATCTTTATATCATCTTTTAAATTAGTATAATTATTTAGTAAATTAATAAAAGATTTAAATAAATCTTCAAATGACTCTTGATTATCTAAGTTTGTATCCAATCTTATCTCTATATGTTGAATCTTAATTAAAATATTTTTATTTGAAGCTATCAAATCAAGTGAATTTGATAATCTAGTCATATCAAATTGTTGTATAATAACTTTAGAAAGTTTCTAAATATATATCAATTATTTTTTTTATAATAAATATAAGAAATAAAAAGTAAAAAAAAAATTATAGTAACATACTTTCATTAAAGATAAAGGACTTTGTAAAATATCCTTTAATTCCACTAATGGTAATTTCAAATTATCTATATATTCCCATGATCTGAATCTACTAATACTTGATATAGATAAACTTTCTATTGGTATATATATCAATATTTTATTTAAATATATATCAGCTAAAGAAGTTAAATCTTCTACTGAATACCTTTAGAAACATTAATATAAAATAATTTTATATATTAAATCTTTAAAAACAATATATAATAGCTTACCATGTTTCCTCACTATCAGAACTCATTGTAAATCTCAATTTTAAACTTTCAATATGTTAAAGAAACTTTATATTTACTATAATTACCGCTAATATTGATATCATTGTTAATATCTTTATTTTACATTAGTTATAAAAAAAAAAAAAAAATAATTACCTACTACTAATAATAATAATAATCCTAAATCTATCCCACCTATTAATAATCCATCATATCCTAATAATAATTATCAAAATAAATATCAACTATTTTAAGTATATGGATCAAAATATTTGTTTGTTTTATGTACTTGTTTCTCATATTTATGATTATCAAAAATTGATGAATTCTTATTATGTCCCTCATGCCACTTATGGGTAGCTTTTGTAATCTGTACACGTTTCTTATTATTATTAATTGAAGTATCTTCAACAATACGAACACTTTTATCTTTATATACACCATTATTATCTCTAAATATCCATGAAGAATTAGAATGTGCTCCATATGGACCAATATGTCTAACAGGTATTAATGAATGATCAGGAAAAAATGCAATAGGTTTTATATCTTCATCTAATGTTGTCTTTAAAACCCAAAATTCATGTTTACCATCAAATAATAAAAATATATCAGGTTCTCCATTATTTCCAGATTTTTTATAAACTGATCTTCCATGATGTATTAATGGAGTTAATTCATTATTTGAATCTTTAGAGATCTTATTATTTGATTTTGTAATCTTTTCAACCATTTGTAAATGATAATTACCATTAACTTGAGGTCCAGAATCATTAACACGTCCATATAATGTTAATACACTTGGTATATATACCTCTATACCTTTATATCTTAATCTTTTAACTGGTAAAATTCCTTGAGAATTAATATTAGAAATAGTATTACTATCTATATTCTTTTCTTTTTCTTTTATTTCTATATTTTGTTTTATCCTATCTTCAAAATCTATAATCTCATCATCTGAACTAAAAATATCCATATCATAGAAATCATCATCTTCATCAATCCATAAATCTTTATCATCATTATCTGCCCAATATTCTGGATTATCAATAAAATTACTATCATTAATATTATATATAGAATCTTCATTATTCTGATTATTAGAATTTATATCTATCTTTCCTATTTTGGATATTTTTTGTTCTTCTTCATCCATTAATATATCAAATTTCACATTTCTCCCTAATGATCCTGCAGGTAAAAAGCGTTTATTTGAATTATTTATACTAATTTTTGAGGCCATTATAAATAAAATAACTAATAATGAAAATAGAACACATAGAAATCGTACAACCCTTTGTATATTATATATTAATTCAGCTGTACTTCCAGGTTTTATTGTTTCTCCTACACTTTTACCAAATAAAGCTTCTAAAATAAAAGTAGAAATTCCTTGTCTAATATTAATTGTAGACTTTTCAGCTTGTTTAATATTATTACTAATATTTAAAGAATTTACATGAGATCTAAATATTGGTTGATTAGATACTAGCGTGGGATCTGTATCTTCATTATTCATTGTTTGCTGTACTTTGTGCATTATATTTCTAGTAAATAAAAAAAAAAGTTTTTTTAATTATAACAAAACTTTTCTTTAGAGAATTTACAACTTATATTAACTATTGTGTGCTCTTCAAAATAATTTTTCTAAGACAAAACGGTTTATTTTTAGATGGCGGTAATATACTAGAACTATTTTCTTCCTTAAGTATATTATTAAGTAACTTAACTAAAACTATTACAGTATTATTATTTAATAGCTTCTTATTCTTAAATAGAAATATTTCTAGTTCAAATAAATTTTATATTAAGTACAAATAAGTAAATAATTTAGAAATCATTGTGAATATAATTTACTATTAAGTTGAAATACCTTGTGTAACTTGAGTAGTTTGAGCCTTTGGTTTTAAAACTCCTTTATTATTATTTATATTATGCGATCTTCTTGATTCTGCTAATCTTCTTGTTCTAATATGTCTAGTAACCGTAATAGTTATTACTGTTATTATCAAAATACATGCTATAGCTATACAAACATAGAGGACAATCCAACCAGTACTTAAACCTTGCTTAACAGATTCATTTGATGAATCCCTATCACTAAGCCAGGGAGTTGGTGCAGTTATGTATTTTGATGGTTCATGATTATAAAATATTGGAAGTCCAGTTTTATCTAAATTATTAAATTTATATTTAAATCAAATTAATAAGAGTAAATATATAAACTAGGATATTCAACTTACTATCATAGAGTATATCTGTTGAGTTTGATGAGGTATTTGTAGTATTAAATTCTGAATTAAATTCATCTGAATCGTGTTTTATATATAATTGATTACCAATACTATTGATATGATATTTTTGTCTTATTAAAGTATCTAGTTTAGCTCCATTTGTATTATAAACGATTATTAAAACTAATATACAAATAAAAAAATACCGAATAACAAACATTGAAAATATTATAAAAATAAAATCTTTAGATTAGAAAACTTTATAATAGAAATTATTTGAAGGTATTGGTGATCTATCTGTAGTATTATATTTAATTTTTACCTTTCTTGCATGCTCTGTTTATGTCGTCATCTTAGGGTGCATCTTAAATTGTGTGATATAACCGCCAAATAAAATTATTAGAATAATAAATATTAATGATAATTTGACTATTATAAAATAAAATAAATATTTTACTGTTTTTAGAATTATAAATAATTTATAATTAGATCTACTTTTTAAAAAGATATATATAAAATTATAACTTTTTTATTATTAATAAAAAAACAGTAGAAAAAAAAGGTAAATTAAAAATGATAGAAATTAATATAATTACATATTTTTATAAATATTAACTTTATATAGGTAACATATAGTAGTAATAAAATTTTGAATCTAAATTTATACAAAAGTGGTGAAATTAAGCAGCAATTAGATAGCAATCGGCGCCATGAACTTGGTACAGGTCTCAGATATACTATTAGAGATAGGAGAAGAAAAAGAAGAGAAATAAAGAAAAAAAAAGAGAAAAAAAATGGGAGGGGGAGAAATTGAACTATTACTTTGAATTATTAAATATTATACCACTAAATTATAATGAGATTATTTTTATTTAGCTAATATTAAGAAAATAAATTTATAAATAAAATAGATACTTGATAAGTGTACACACGTATAGACATACTTAGACGTATCTATTTACTTGTAGAGTAGTGACTAGTCAGACGTTTATATTTGAGGCGTGCATGATTCCAAATATGTTTATAGATGATATTAGAAGAAAAAGAGTTAGAAGTGTTTATTAGTAAAGATGGAAATAATAAACCAGGCTATTAAGAATTTGAGAATACGCTATGATAATTTACATGTAGAAGATTGGAATTATGGTGAATTAGTAGTACTGATTGATATTGAAGAAGATAATAAAGAATGTTCAGATATAGAGGTAGAGATAGAGTTAGATAGTAATAGTAATAAATCAACTGATAATGTACTAGAAATGATTAAAGAACCAGTAGCTAAAAGAGAGCCTACTATATATGAAATAGAATTTGAAAAGGTTGCAGATTCTGATAATAAGTGTAATATAAATCAATTGAAGAAGTATTTACATACATTAGGATTAGCACCAACAGAGAGTCAGATGTTAAAAATAGTAGATAAATATGGAGATTCTAAAATAAGTTTAGAGAATGCATTAATGGCATATAAAGAAATATCTAATGAGAAATATACAAATGAAGATTTAAGTAAAGGTATTGAATCTGATTCTACTATGATTTCAAGAAAGAGACTTCATTTATTGCTAGAACAATTTGGTGATCATATGACTGCAGAAGAAATTGATACTGCACTAGATAAGTTGGGATTCCAAGGATTAGATTCATTTCCAAAGAAAGAATTTTTGGAAGCTTTAAGTAAAGATGCAAAACAAGTTCAAGTTTCCGAAAATGAAATGAATGAAAGTACTGATAAAACAGATACACAAGTGTCAAATTTAGTGGCTGAAAATCCAGTAGATAAAAATCCAATAGATGAAGTTGTATTAAATTGACTATAATTTCATTTTTTGCTATAATAGATAGACATAGCTTACACTTCTTATGAGTCATTTAGAAATAATAGACTGATTGTTTTTGTTTAAAATAATAGAAACTTTAAATATATTGATTATTGATTATTGCAATAAATATTGTAAGATAAATTGAACTTTATTACACCTTTTTTATTAGAAATTTGTATAGTCCTTATAATATTTAATTCGTTTAGAAGTGGATTTATTATTTTAAATAATCAAATTAACACCTAAATTTACAACCAAGATAGTAATAAATATATATA